CTCTAGCCTCTGCAGCGGCACGGACTAATAATCTCGGTGCGAGTTTCTCTGATACCTACTTGTAATCAACTTTGCTTCGGTTCGGGTATCGTCGCAAGGAGCTGGTGGGGATCCGAAATAGGGCGTCCCGGCCGGTGCTGGTGCTGGTGCTGGTGCTGGTGGTGTTGACGGACTGGCTGTTTGGCTGAGTCTTGGGCAGTCAGTCGGGGACAAACAGCCCCGGCATTGTTTGTCCACGTACTGCACTGTACAAGTACGGAGTAGTTACGGAGTGTTGCGTTGTGCCAATCTCAAAGGTACTACTGCTGGCCTCGCCTGGAGCTGGAGCTGGAGCTGGAGCTGGAGCTGGAGCTGGAGGCGAACAAGTGGGATTGGGATGGGGGTCTCGAGGCCTTCCTTGCAACTTTGCTCCCCCTTGCCGAGCGTCTCCATTCTTTGGTCCCCATCCATACGGACTCTCGACTCAGACTCTGGTTGGGGTAGCGTCTTTGTTGAAGTCTCGCCCCCGCTCCACGCGCGTCAAGACGGAGGCAAAGAACGGAGCAAAGAGGCTCCTTAATAATAGGAACTGCGCTGCGCAATCCAGGCGTTGCGTTTTACATAAAATGGCATAGCTGTCCCCATCTGCGTTCTGGTTGCTTTTCTCTCCCTCCTGCATTCCCTCTATCAGTACAACTCCTCTTTCGTCATAAATACCCCTCCTGCCCCTCTCGTCTTTTTTACCTTTTTTACTTCTTTTTTCCTTCTCTCATAGAAGCAGAACCAGCAATCAATCCTATATACCCTTTTTCACTCCGCTTCATATCAATCCTTCACCATGGCTCCCTTGACCGTCGAGCTCAACACCCCCATCACGGGCACCTACTCACAACCCATTGGCCTGTGAGTCTCCTCGTCCCTCTACTTGATATATATATGTGTGTATATAAACATCAACTAACACTTTCAAGGTTCATCAACAACGAGTGGGTCGAGGGTGTCGACAAGAAGAAGTTTGAGGTCATCAACCCCGCCACCGAAGAGGTCATCACCTCTGTCTGCGAAGGTACCGAGAAGGATGTCGACCTTGCCGTTGCCGCCGCCCGCAAGGCTTTCAACACAACATGGAGAAAGGTTGCTCCCGGCGAGCGTAGCCGACTGATGCTCAAGCTCGCTGATCTCGCCGAGAAGAACCTCGACCTTCTCGCCGCTGTCGAGTCCTTGGACAATGGCAAGTCCATCACCATGGCCCGAGGTGATGTCGGCGCTGTTGTTGGATGCATCCGATACTACGGTGGCTGGGCCGACAAGATTGAGGGAAAGACCCTTGACATTGCCCCCGACATGTTCAACTACACTCGACACGAGCCTGTAAGTAACAAATGACACCAACTGTTTCCCAGAGAACCTGATTGCTAACCAACATCTTCATACAGCTTGGTGTTTGCGGTCAGATCATTCCCTGGAACTTCCCTCTTCTCATGCTTTCATGGAAGATTGGCCCTGCCCTGGCCACTGGTAACACCATCGTCATGAAGACTGCTGAGCAGACCCCTCTGTCAGCACTTGTCTTCGCCAACCTTGTCAAGGAGGCTGGTTTCCCCCCCGGAGTCTTCAACTTGATCTCTGGTTTCGGCAAGACTGCTGGTGCCGCCATCTCTGCCCACATGGACATTGACAAGGTCGCCTTCACCGGCTCAACCGTCGTCGGCCGCACCATCATGAAGGCCGCCGCCGCCTCCAACTTGAAGAAGGTCACCCTCGAGCTCGGCGGCAAGTCCCCCAACATTGTCTTCAACGATGCCGACATTGAGCAGGCCATCTCATGGGTCAACTTTGGCATCTACTTCAACCACGGCCAGACCTGCTGCGCCGGCACCCGCATCTTCGTCCAGGAGGGCATCTACGACAAGTTCCTCGAGGCCTTCAAGAAGCGTGCTCTGGAGAACAAGGTCGGCGACCCATTCCACCACGAGACCTTCCAGGGACCCCAGGTCAGCCAGCTGCAGTTCGACCGCATCATGGGCTACATCAAGGCTGGAAAGGAGGAGGGCGCCACGGTCGAGATTGGTGGTGAGCGTCACGGCGAGAAGGGCTACTTCATCCAGCCCACCGTCTTCAGCAACGTCACCGCCGACATGAAGATTATGCGCGAGGAGATTTTCGGCCCCGTCGCCGCCATTGCCAAGTTCAAGGACGAGGAGGAGGTCATCCAGATGGGCAACGACTCCAACTACGGCCTGGCCGCTGCCGTCCACACCAGAGACCTCAACACCGCCATCCGCGTCAGCAATGAGATCCATGCCGGCACCGTCTGGGTCAACTGCTACAACTTGCTGCACCACCAGATGCCCTTTGGTGGCTACAAGGAGTCTGGTATTGGCCGTGAGCTCGGTGAGGCCGCGCTGGCCAACTACACTCAGAACAAGTCTGTCGCCATCCGTCTGGGAGGCGCCCTGTTCTAAACTACCAAAAAGTAAAGTAAAAAACTATATAAAGTTGTTAAAAAAAAAGGAGAATCAGCTTGTCACGATTAGTATGAGTACTGGGCAGGGTATCTTTTATTTTATTTTTCTGTTATGCAGCCTGATGTAGCTCTGAAATGAAATTGTACGACACCCACAAAGTTGAGCCAAGATGCGATGAAGTGAAGTCAATGTCAGATGTCAGATGCCAGGAGTGAGACTAGTGGAGATGTAAATTAGCCGTCGGTTGTTTTGTAGTGCTTTGGGTCACCGGGAGATGATTTGGTGTGTATGGCCTCTGCCTGATTGAATGTGGTAAATTGGATTATTATCCGAAAGTATGAGCCAGCATGTTGTAACGATTGAAGTATACATCCGCGGACAAGGTGGTTAATGGACTTTTGCAGCGTGGGTGATGGATTGACTGTTGAATGGGATTTTGAGTGTTTGGTAGGACGATTGACGATAGCTTTCAAGGGTAGGAATAGGGTGCTGCGTGGGATGGACTCTCTGATTGAATTGATTGAAATGATGAGAACACTCGCAGTCACATCTGTCGTACCTCTATAGCTGAGTGCCCTTTCTGAGGAGAAAGTTGGTGCGCTGTTGGATACTGTGATGGTGCCTTGGTACTGATTCTGTTGTCATCTTGTTGATGTGGTGGTTGTCTGGTACAACGTCAATGATGGCTCGTATAGTCTACCGATGCAGTAACCATACTTGACTGCTTTTGTCCCACAAGTATTAATATGAAATCCAGTTGTTCTATAGTCTAATAGCTGTCTAGTGGCTGTCTAGTTGGCAGTGTCGTCTTATAGTAAGATGTGCTTGAATAATTCTAGGTACTGCCCACCTCCTAAACAGCAAGATACCGTCACCATGTCATTGCATCACCTGCTTCGTCGCATCGGACAAGCAACAAGGATAAACCCGAGCGAAACAATTCCATCATGTACAGGTTACGCTGGATAAACTGATTCATCACCTTTTTGTTCACCACGGTCCTTGTACTGCAACTTTACGCTACAGCGCACATGTGGTGACGCAACACCCAACCGCCAAGTCACTGTACTGTTGGTCGGCCTCCCGCTTCCAACATGCGACAGTCGCCCAATCGGGCAGCGCCACTGTCGTGACATAAAAAACACAAACGAGGGGGAAACCAAATGTCAACCGTGTCTTGCTTTTTTTCACTTTTCATCAACTTCTTCTGCTCATTGATTTGTCTCTTCTTTTTCTTGCTGCGCATCTGTTCATTGTGTCCTTGCTTTTGTTACGGATACCGAAAAGCTGTAACAGATTGTCGTCGAGTTGCGCTACGGAGAATATAATACAGCTAGGGCCAAGCATACGATACGACACGATACGCCAGCGACGATGGGACTCGGCTTGGGTCTCGCATTTATGCTGGTAAGGAGGGATTCAATATTGAATATTTCTCGTCGTTTTGACATGTCCAATTGCTAATGCGATCCTCTTCCAGGGTAGCGCCGTGCTGTTTGGCGTCGCAGCGTAAGTCAAACCACCAAAAAGCCATCCGATCTGATAACTTACACGAATCCCCTCGAACAGCGTCGTTCACTTCCACAGCGCCCATCTGTCTCTCCCCGTCAGCCCCGTCGTCACCATCGTCACCATCCTCCTCCCCATCGTCTCGTTCCTCAACTCGTACATTTATCCAACGCTGCTGCACTCCGCGCGCAATTCGTCACACCCTCTGCATCGGCTTAGTCCTACGATCCTGCAGACGCTGCAGGGCCTTGTCACGACGGTCCTCGCAACGTTGCTCTTTGAGCATGTGATTCCTTCGGCGACGGTGGATTGCTTGATGGAGAATCGGTGGAGCGGCTTGTTTCAGGCCCATGATGGGGAGTCGATCCGATTAATCCAGGACACCTTGAACTGCTGCGGGCTAAACACGGTTCAACACATGCCTTATCCTTTCGTCAGGCCTGACACTACTTGCTCCAAGATGTATGGACGGGATAAGGCGTGCAGGGGCCCGTGGACAGCGGCGCTGAGGAGCAGCACGGGGGCTGATTTCGGAGTCGTCATTGCGGTGGGATTACTGCAGGTAAGATTTTCCTACAGCGGCTGATTTACTTGATTTTCGCATTAACGAATTCCGTTTGAATAGATTTTGAGCCTTCTCATGACTAGAGAAGGCACAAACTGGTGGAACTCTTGGCGTTCTATTGCGTGGCACCGACAGCGGCCTGTTGCTGATGGTGAAAGACGCGCGCTGTTGGAAGATGTCACTGACGCAGACGAAGAGGTCGTCGAGCGACAGGACGACTCTTCTCGTTCGCGAGGATACCAGAGCTTGCCTTCTGCTCAAGTGGAAAACAGGCCGAGGGTTGAGCCGTCGCCGATTCACCAAGAAGAAAACCACTGGAGGGACAGCTGAGCTGGATTTAAATAGGCCATCCTTGAGGAGAATGTTCGCCGCGGAAATGGGCAAAAGAATCACGACAACATGAGCCGAAAAGGGAATCTTGTTCAAAAGTTGATGTATATTTCTTGGTATTAACAATGTTTTATCTACCCGTCTACCTTTTATCTCTTCCGTGACTCGAGCGCCTCCTTGCCTAGCTTCTCCAGCGCACTCTCGTACTCTTCTATCCCGTCTTCGCTCATCTCCTCAATCATGACTCTGGCCACCTTTTGTGCTCTCTTCACGGCAGCGCTCTTACCAATCTTACCCCAGAACCAGCCACTCTCTCCGTCTCCCACAAGCGTCCACGCGCATCCAGATCTACCAGCTCGAGCAGTACGGCCCACACGATGGACGTAACCAGCTACGCTTGGCGGCAGGTCATAGTTGATGACGTGCGGCAGCTTTGGAATATCGATGCCACGTGCTACAAGATCAGATGCGATGATGAGACGCAGAGGGGATGAAGGAGTGGTGAAGGCTCGTAGGGTCTTGCGACGGATGCTGGTTGGCGTGGTGGATGTGAGAGTGCCGATTTGTGTAGCGAGGGACTTGTCGAGGAGGATGAGCAGCCGGGACAAGCGCAGGGCGGCTTCGTTGGACTTTGTGAAGATGAGGGATCGGGGTATCTGCGACTTGGACGGCTTGGAGGGTGCTTTCTTGTTGCGGGCGCTTGCTTCTGAATCCGAATCCGAATCTGAACTTGTATCAGAGGCAGAGGCAGAGTCGGAATCGGAATCTGAACTTGTGTCGTCTGAGCTAGTCTCTGAGTGTGCTTCTGCTTCTGTGCCGAGATCCACATTCTTCGTGTCGTCGTTGATGGCCATGTGTGTGCTTCGTAAAAGATCAAGTAGATACAGCGGCTTGAGGTTTGCATCGTGAACCCTCACGGCATACTCCTTCAGAGATTCCGGCAGCGAGTGCTCCGCAACCTGAACATCCCTGCCGCTTTCCAGGACAATTAGCTTGGGTCTGCGCAGAGCAAGCTGGTTCAAAAGACTCAGATCCCTCGTCAGGGTGGCACTAAGAAGAATCTTGCGGACGCCCGCGTACGGCATGTCGGGAAAATCCCGAGCGCCAAACTGGCTCGTCTTGAACTTGTCCAGGACGACGTCTAGCCATCCCTGGAAGCTCTGCGCGAGCAGCTTGTCGGCCTCGTCGACGACGAGCCAGCGGATGTAGGACAGGGAGAAGCCGGGAGTCTGGTCGAGGTGCTCGACGAGACGGCCGGGGGTGCAGACGAGGACGTCGACTTTGGAATAAAAGTCAATGACTTGGCCTTGCCAGGGGCCGATGCGAGGGTTGGCACGTTGCGTACTGGGGCCGGTGAGGAAGTCGTCCAAATCGTCTTCGCTGTTGGAACTCGATGTTCGATGTGATGCTTCCTGTTCCAACAGCTTGTATGCTTCCGGGTCGTATCGCGTCTCCTTGCTCACGAGAAGATCCTGTTCAGAGGCCAATGACTGGTTACCAATAGCGATTCCAACGCGCACCCTCTTCCTGTCCTCTCCCTCGTAGGCCTTTGCGCACAGCTCAAACACTTCCTGCGCTTGCTTGACGAGTTCTCTGGTCGGGAGCACGACGAGCGCACGTAGCCTTGTAACGACGCTGTTGCTCAAGTCTCTCACAACCGGTAGAGCGTAGGCCAGTGTCTTTCCAGATCCAGTCGCCGCCGAAACGAGAAGATCGCCCGGCTGCTGTTGATTTGTAGGGAGCAGTAACGGCAGAGCGGCTGTCTGAACGGCAAAAGCTTCCGTGTAGCCCTTTTGTTGCAGCACCTGCGCCGCCTTTGGGAGAATGCCCAGATCTGTAAAGGGAGTTCGGGTGTCCACCGAGACACGAATCGGCGCCGAGAGCCATGGGGGAAGAGTCTCGTATGTCGGCTTTTCCGTGCTGGGTGCGGTGCGTGCAGGCTGCGGGAGAGGCTCCAGGCCGTGGAGCTCGGTTGGCTCTTCCGGCTCCTCCACGATGCCTTGCTCCTTGATGATTTCGGCATACTTGAGTGATTTGACCTTTCGCTCAAAGACGGCCTTGTGTCGCTTGTCTTCTTCGTCTTCTGCTGGGCCGTCGTCCATGTTGGCATCCTGGGGTTTCTTCTTCTTTTCCCGTTTGGCCTTTTTCACCTGCTTTTCATCGGATTCGGGAGGTTCCACATCTACCATCTCAGCATCGTGGGCGCTGTGACTCGCTTCGTCAACGTCGGCCTGCTCGGGCCTCTGTTCGTCGTCTTCATCCCCACGGTCGGATGTTTCGCCTCTCTTCTTGTCTTTCTTCTTCTTCTTCTTTTCTTCCTTGTTTGATTTCAAATCATCGCCATGTTTTTCTGATTTCCTACTCTTTGTTGGTTTTTCTTCCTCTTCCTCTTTAGATTCTTGTTCTTGCTCTTGTTTATGTTCTTTCTTCGTTCGCGCTTCCCCTTTGGAGCCACGCTTTGCCGGGGTCTCAGCCTCTTCCGAGTCTGCGTCTTTTTCTGATTCTTCCTCCGATTCGACGTCTCGTGTTCGTTTCTTAGATTTCTTCGACTTCTTGCTCTGAGACTCTAGCGACGGCTCCCCGTCACTTCGCTTTCTCTTTGGCTTTGGAGAGTCTGCCTCCTCTTCGAATCGCTGGATTGACGGCAATTCAGTCTGTTGTTGGGATTTAACGCCAGGAATATAACGAGAGTAGGAGAGCCCATCCCCATTCGTTACTACGGACGCTGCAGGTGCTGATGACGGCGCAGGCGATTGTTTTGCGACGGGAGAATCTCTGTTGGCTTTCGAAGGCACCTGCCCAGGGATATATCTTGCATACATTTTAGATTGTTGAGTACGATGAAAATACTGAACCCGAGAGAAGCGAGCAAACAAGCAAATTGACCCCAGAAATCCGGGACTGAATCAAATGCGCTGCGCCAACAGCTTCTTCTGCCACTGTCCAAGTCAATGCGATGCAGATCTGCGACCCGCGCAGTAGCTCGTCCAAAAATTTGGCAACGGAGCTGTTATCGGCGTTTTGCCGCCCCTCACCGCCGGGCTTATCGACGAGCTTAGCGTCATCAACGGAGACGTATCCAATTGGAGCCTCGGGGTGAGTCTATAATATAATTGAAGCCCTGAAATTACATCCGCCTTGTTTTATAAAGACCTCCCATACAGCCTCTCCAGATATCTTCGGGGGAATCGAATGCTATGCCATCAACTGAGATGAGATGACATGAGATGAGACAAAGAGCAAGCGAGAGGACAGCTTTGGTGGAAGAAGAACAAGTCAGCGAGTGGTGACGCTCACATGCTTCATCTCACCCTCCGTCTCAGCATCAGTCGCTCCCACAATCGCAAGGATCCATGATCACCTCAACTCCAGCATCTACAGCTCATATTCCATCAATTACCAACTACAAGATGGCGCGCAAGACCTACAACATTGCCATGGTTAGCGACTTCTTCTTCCCCCAGCCCGGCGGCGTCGAGTCTCACATCTACCAACTCTCGAGCAAACTCATCGACAGAGGCCACAAGGTCATCATCATCACCCACGCCCACGATGATCGCAAGGGAGTCCGCTATCTCAACAACGGCCTCAAGGTCTATCATGTGCCGTTTCTAGTCATCTATCGGCAGGCCACCTTCCCTACCGTCTTCTCTTTCTTCCCCATTCTGCGAAACATCTGCATCCGTGAGCAGATTGAAATCGTCCATGGCCACGGCAGTCTCAGCTCGCTCTGCCACGAAGGCATCCTGCATGCGAGAACCATGGGGCTGAGGACTGTGTTTACCGATCATTCGCTCTTTGGATTTGCGGATGCTGCCAGTATCTTGACAAACAAGCTGCTCAAGTTTATCCTGAGCGATGTTGATCATAGCATATGCGTGAGCCACACCTGGTATGCACACTCACAAATCCCTCCTACGATTTAGCCTTGTCAGAACTAATCAACTCTTAGCAAGGAGAATACTGTGCTTCGTGCATCACTGGACCCTCTCATGGTATCAGTCATTCCCAATGCCGTCGTGGGCGAAAACTTTCGGCCTCGCGACTATCCAGCGCCATCGGATCAAGGAGGAGGCTTCCGGTCCGAGCCATCCCCTCGCCTTCTCGGCCCCGACGACATGATCACCATCGTCGTCATCTCTCGTCTGTTCTACAACAAAGGCACAGATCTTCTCACCGCCGCCATTCCCCGTATCCTAGAGAACCACCCCAACACCCGATTCATCATCGCAGGCTCGGGCCCCAAGGCTATTGACCTGGAGCAAATGATTGAGACCAACGTGCTACAAGACCGCGTCGAGATGCTCGGCTCCATCCGCCACGAAGACGTCCGCGACGTCATGACCCGCGGTCACATATACCTTCACCCTTCCCTCACCGAAGCCTTTGGCACCGTCATCGTCGAGGCCGCCTCGTGCGGCTTGTACGTCGTGTGCACCCAAGTCGGCGGCATCCCCGAAGTCCTCCCCTCGCACATGACGACTTTTGCAAAGCCCGAGGAGGACGACATCGTGGCCGCCACCGGCAAGGCCATCACCGCCATGCGGGCGGGCAAGATCCGCACCGAAAAGTTCCACGACGAGGTCAAGAAGATGTACTCGTGGTCCAACGTCGCCATGCGCACCGAGCGCGTCTACGACGGCATCTGCGGCACCATCAGCGAGGAGGAGTTTTACGGCTTCGACACCAGCGGCTACAACGGGAGCCGCATCCGCGACTTTGCGCTCATTGATCGGCTGAAGCGGTATTATGGCTGCGGCATCTGGGCCGGCAAGCTGTTTTGTCTGTGCGTCGTTGTGGATTACTTGTTCTTCTTGTTCCTTGAGTGGTGGTTCCCGAGGGAGAATATCGACGTTTGTCCGGATTGGCCGCGGAAGTTGCCTGCAAAGGACAAGGCGCAGGACTCGATGAAGATTGCACTGGGCAGTCGGTCGACTTCATCGATTAGAGTTCCCAAGCTGGACAGATAGAGGGTTTACCATTGTTTAAAGAACAGCCATATTGGAGGCGTGTTTTTGGAGTTTCCTTATATACAAAAGTGTGTGAAAGAGCCACATCACTCTCTCCCCTGATGAGAATCCGGAGCGAATAGCGCAATGTTACCACGAAAGTAGATTGGGTTTATAGAATAATATACCAACATTCACCTGATTACCTAGTTTATGAATCAAACACACATTGCCGCACGTAACCCACGACCCCAACGTTAGACATTATCAAGCCCCAGTTGCGATTACTAGAGACTCGCATTTCGAGTTAAAAGCTAATGAAGCTAACGATTACTCTCTGATCTTTGCAACTCTAACAAAAAAAGCGCTATACACAACTCAAAAGCCATCGCAAAAGCATCAAAATCCCCCCGTTTCGCCGCTACCCGTTACCCGCTAATACCCTTTCCCTTTCCCTTTCCCTTCTCCCCAGCTATTTCGCCAACTTCGAGCCCCGCAAGACCCTCGGACTCCGCGAGCCCTTCCCACGAGGCTTCTCGCCCAGCATTTTCTCAAGAACAGGCCGTTTCTAACTCCTTGTACTGATACGTCTCCTCTTGGCCGTCCCCGAAGCCGAAGCCGAGTCCCCATCGCCGGCAAGCTCGTCTTCCTCCTCGGCCGTGTCTTCCGCCGGCGTGGCCACGCTGCCTTGCCTCGTCGTGGATATCGGCGGAATACCCCTGTCCTTTTCGGCCGCGCGCAAGTCGCCCAGTAGCTTCTCGACCTCGAGAAACATGCTCTGCGTGTTCTTAACCACCCCGTTCTCGTCGAGCCGATAGCCGACAACTTCTTCCTCGTCGCTCTGGGACCTTCTCATAAACGCCGGTCCGGGACCGCGATCGGGATCGGGGTTGTACATGATTGCATTGCAAAACATGTGCACCAGCTCACGCTCGAGGTGAGCGCTATTGATGATGCCTTTCGGAGGGACGAGATCCTCGGAGATGGGCAGCCAGACGCTCGCCGTGCCCGGATCGCCACCCGGCAGACTAGCCGCCGCCTGGAGCGCCGCTTTGTTGCCTGCCTTGATGGCAGAGCGGATCGAGGTGATGTCTTGCGGCTGCAATACTATTTGCCTATAGTTCGGCGCGTCCTTTTCTCGCAGCGCTGTCGCGAACATGTTGGCGTCGCGATGGCTCGATATCTGGTCGAGGGCCGACGAGGACACCTTTGTGAATCCTCGCGTCCACAACACATGCGTTGGAGGGCCTTGAAGGTCAGTAGGAGTATCCTGCCGCTTCCGCTTGGGTGCACGGGTCATACTACTGGGTGTAGCCATCAGGCCACGTCCTGGCATGCTCTCATCCGCAGTTGTGTCGCCGGTTTCTTCTCGAAGCCGCGGCGTTGCAACCTCCTTCTTTACCTTGGTCACGGAATGATCTAGTGAGAGCTCATCGGTTTGGGAAATCACAGATTGGCTTCTCCTTGTGCCCGTGGCGGACGGCGTCGCGCTCGGACCACGGCTTCTCTGCACCGAACGTGGTGGTCGACCTCGAGGTGCCTTTGCTGGGGGGGTGGCCTCGACTTTAGCAGTGGGTTTCGAGGCGGCGAGCTTAGGGACTGCCTTGGCTGCAGAGTCCTTTGTGACGGCGGGACGCGGCAACGGAGGGCTGACGGGTTCGTAGGCCGGGCTCTCCGGTTCTGATGTTATCGGACCAGGAGTGGATGGTGTCGAGTGAGATGCCCATTTCGTTCCAAACCCGCGTTTAAGAGAGACAGGACTAGATGGTGCTGGCGTCCGTGGCGCAGGAGACGCAGGACTAAGACGCCTGGCAGGCCCTGGAGAAGCCGCTTGCCGAATCATATGCTCTGGGATAGCAGGACGTGGAGGTTGAGCAACATACGGTTTGGCGGTAGGAGAAGCAGAGGGCATCGCCCGGGCTCCCTGTTGCGCTGAGGGAGCACCTGGTTGCCATCGCTGCGTTGCGACAACTCCAGGGGTCCCCTTGTTGGGGATGGGAGATCCAGCGGCGGTTACCGAAGGTGATGTTTTGGCAGGAGTTGCGGAGGCAATGGCCCGTGGAGTCTGGATTCTCGGTATATGCTGGAATTTCTGAGCCAGTAAGGATGGCTGGGCCTGCACCGCCCTCTGGATATGCGGATGCTGAGGAGTTGTTTGTTGACCCTGTTGCGCTTGCTGATGGTGAAGCTGGGGCTGTTGAGGTTGGATAGGACGACCTGTTGGGGCTGAGGGTGTTGTTGGCGGCCGAACTTGCTGTGTAGCCCCTGGCCCGGTTGGACGAGGAGGTCCTGGCTGTAGGGCAGGGGGAGCCAGTTGGCCTGCAGGTTGTGGAGGAACCAGGACAGGTTTTGCTGCGGGTGGTCGAGCCTGTTGCTGTTGCTGTGGCTGTTGCTGTTGCTGTTGCTGCGGCTGTGGCTGTTGCTGTTGCTGTTGCGGCTGTGGCTGTGGCTGTGGTGAATGTGCCACTTGTCCGTGTGGCGGTTGTGGAGGATACTGAATATGCTGCTGCTGTGGATGCTGTGGATGAGATACTGGCTGTCGTTGCCATTGTTGCTGCGGTGGTGGAGGCTGCTGCTGCTGCTGTTGCTGCTGTGGCGGCGGCGCCTTTTGAAGAGCTGCATTGCCTGGAGAAGAGAGAATCGGTGGCGAGAATTGTTCGGCTGGGAGACCTGGCGTTGTTTGCGGAGGTTGATAAGGCTTCTCCCATTTCAACGACCCAGCCTGAGCAGGGGCTGCTCCTGGAGCAATTGGGGGCTGCGGGCCAGTAGCCTCTGGTCGGGGGGAGAGAATCTGTTTCGGCGGTTGCTGCGTCGGCGGTTGCAACACCTGGGAGGTTGGTTGTGGCGTGGGAATTCCAGCCGGTGCCTGAAGCACAGAAGAAGTTCCATTTGGTGGCTTCGGCGAGACGCCCTGTCGAGGTGGTGGTGTTGCAGATGCCAATTGCGTCGGTAGGGTGACCTTGGGCGCTGCAACGCCAGATACCAGGGGCTTCGGCGGTGGGACAGGCGTATTGGGAGTCGGTCCCTTTCTGATGCCTGCTGGGACAGTTGGTGTCTGCGCTGGAGAAGGAGTAGCCCCATTCGAAGGAGGCATCGGTGATGGAATTGGTACTGTCAATGACGGTGTTGTCGTTGTCGCCGCCGCCGCCGCCGCTGCCCTTGGATCTCGTGGAGCCAGAGTCGGCGTGACATTCTGGCTCGCTGCCACCTTGGCAAGTCTCTCCTTCTCGCTCCGCTCCAGCAATTGAATCTCTCTCTGCAGTATTGCGCATCTGCGTTCGTCCTCGCGAATCAACCCGGCCGTGTGTTCTCGATATTGTACGTACATTCGATCGATCATACCCGGAATGCGATCGACATTCTCGTAGATCTCCTTGAGCGTCATCAGCGGCGGGCTGCCCAGCTTCCTCTTACGCGACCCAGGCGACCCCAACCCATCGCCGCCTCCCGCCGCTCCTCCTTCAGCACGATCCGCATCGCCCTTAATCTCTTCTCGCAGCAGCCGGTGGAAGAGCTGCTGCAGCGCCTCGGGGGCTAGACGCGCGGCATCATAAGTGTTGCCGTTCTTGATGAGCGCATTCCCCTTGAGCAGCTCCGAGATGCGCGCAAACGCCCCGCTGTCGACTCCGTGGGAAAGCAGCGACTGGAACAGGAACAGCGACTCGAGGGGCGTGTGTGCGGCCGGTTGATTCATGCCCCAAGGTCCGCCTCGCCGGCTATCGAGGGGGCCGTCACGCTTCGTCGCAACAGGATATATGGGCGCCACGATCTAATCATTGGGGACACGAAACACGATGGTTAGGACACATGTTCATCTACGTCATTACGAACAATGAACAGAGGCAGGGTCATGATAAAACGTACAGGCAGCCGTGAATCCAGATTCCAGTCCCTTCAGGCAATGGCTTCAACGTCCTTTTCTCATCTGACCCGACGCGGCTGCTCCGACACGGCCTGGTTCGTTTCAATGCGCTACAATTTCCTTTCAAACCGCGATTGTAAACTTTTTTTTGTCGTTCGTTCGCGACCGAGTTGTTCCGGAATCACGTGACGGAGGATGTACTGTTTGCGAGGCTGCGCAAGTCCGTTGTTGGATTATTTTTTGGAGATGGAAAGGAAACGAGATTGCGGCAGCGGAGAAACGCAGGGGGACAAAGCTTCGATCGCGGCCACGTCACGTGATATCACGAAGAACCAAGTCCGGCATCAGCTGCAGCGAATAGGCATCAACCAGCGAATTTCTCTGCAGACATGGACACGGCGGGAATTGGTTTACAATTTGTAAATCATCAGTGTGGATGTGAATATTGAGAATCATGTCGACACACGCACACGCGCGGAGCTACCCTGATTAATGGCCCTTTGTTACGGCCTCTCTGCTCTTGAAACTAGTATGTAAAAGGAATTCATGCCACCGCCCTCTCCCATGGCCACAGCCCGTGTAAAGATACAGAAATGCATCTGATTTACCAGCCTTAAACTCCAATTCCCCCGTGGTATCATATCAGCGCTGTAAAAAGCAGAACCCCATGTGTGAAGCACAGTCCGCCTCTCCCTTTCGAGCTCGTGTCTAGAGCTTCCCCCTGATAATATATGAAATCCCAAACGCCATTGTGTGGGCTGTTCCGTCCCTGTGGTGATTGACCGCACTTGGTACAAAAGAAACCAGAATTATGGTATGGTATGGTTTAGTGACAGACAGGATGCAATGAAAAATGAAAAATGAAAAAGCTGTCATCGTGATGATGTTGTGCTTGAGGTTTCGTCCGTGCTACCGCGACGACCCTCACTTGACACTTCAGTGTCTCGTTCTATCGGTTGGCTGGTGAGGCGCAACTTCTCGTCTAACAAGGTGACGAGTCTTTCCGAGTATTGGTCCAAGAGGCCGCTCAGAACCGTCTCGTTCATCGCTCTGCTCCTGATTGCGCGGTCGCCCAGCGCGGCCGCAGTGAACCGCAATTCCTGATCCAGTTCGCTGAGAGCATCTGGATTGATAGGCTCTGCTGACGAGAGCTTCTTCCGGTATGCTCTCAAAGTACGACAGGCTTGTTCCGTCGCCGTGGTCAGGGATGAGTTTCCGCGAAGGTTGGGGGTGGAATTCTTCTTGCGCGCTGCGTGGCCTAGGGCCGGAAGCGATGGCCTACGAGACAGCCTGGCCCTTGGGCTGAGCGGAGGGCTGCCAGTAGGATCGAGGCCTCTTCGGCGCGAAGGCGTGTCGTCCATGACCCTGCTGGCGCCAGGGCTAATCTGTAGAGTCCCAGAGGGTGTCCTGGCGTTGGGGGTGTTGGAACCGAGATTGAGTCGAGAAGTGCGCTTCCGTACCGTTCGAATTTGCAAGGGCGGAGGCGGCGAGGAACGTTGTCCCGTCGAATTTTCTCGAGGGCGTTGGAATTCGGCCAATTCAGCCTTTGACAAGACCCTTCGCAAGGGTGGCCTGCCCGAGGTGGTGTCTCTCGAAGGTGACGGCTCTCTACTTTTCAGCCGCTCATGAACATCGAGAGACCAAATCATGATCGTCCCGTCAGCCGCAACGCTCACAACGCGTCTGTTCTCATCGCCGTCTTCAACAAAGCACACGCCATTGATGGCCTCGGTATGACCCCATTCTCGGTCCAAAAAGTTCCCAGAAATAGAGTCGTAGAGCCGGATGGATTTGTCGGTATTGGAGGCGGCCAACAGAAAATCAGAGTCTCTAGGCGAACCCTGTTCGATGGATATGGATTCAAGAACCGCGGATTCTATGCTGCTCTCATCCATACACTTGAAACAGTTGATCGGCCGTCCCGTCAAGATATCGTACTGGCAGACGGATCGGTCTAACATGGAAACAAACACTGTCCGACTATCCAAGCTCACGGTCATGGAAGTGGGCGACGCTTTGAGAGAGACGACCTTTGAAGGAATGGCAGCTATTGCGTCCGGGTCCCCTTCTTTGGTAACCAAGTCGTGAATATGCATTATTCGGTCCCACGAACAAGTGAATACCTTGTCATCCGATGAGATGAGAACTTGAACAACTCTGGCGGCAAACTCAATGGTTTGAAAGTGCTCGATATTGCCGCTACTAGAAGCACGGTGAAATAGCTGTGCAGTGCGGTCCCTACCACAACAAGCCATGAGGAATTTCCCTTCATCTTCATACAGGCTGATGGATGTACAATCAGCCGAGTGAGCTTTAGTATCGAGAAGACACTCCCTTGTAGCTGTATCTGTGACTCTCAGTACTCCAAGGCGATCGGCCGTGACCAAGAGACGCCCACTCTTTGAGATTTTGACACAGGTCAATTGATTCGGCGTCTCCGGATTGGCATCTGGCGCGTTCAGGCCTTCCAACGGAATGCCGATGGATGCTTTGATCTTGCCGTCCAAGTCCCAAAAAGTCACCATGCCCGAGTTTGACCAAGTCAAAAAAGCCGCCTGCATCTCATTCAGCCTATCCATGGGGCAGATACCGGCCACCGGCTCTCCATGGCCTGGGATATGAATGTGGGATGACGGCTCGGCCGTTTGACCGGGCACGTAGTCTAAATCCCAAATATCAATCGATCCTTTGGCATCAATGGTGACTGAGTTATTCATCATAAAACCCAAGGCCACCAATCCAGTCGAGGATTGCGATGTGCCAATAATACAGTCCTTGCTTCCCTCCATCAGTCTGACGACATCGAGCTTGGTGAAATCGCCGCCTTTGCCGCCAACATACGCAACATTGCCCCTGATTTGAATGGTCGATATAGAGAATTCAAGGTTGAGAATGCAGACAACTTTTGTCTGCTTATCATCGCCGTCTAAAATGCACACATCACCTGCCTCCGTGCAAATGATGAACCTGCTACCGTCGACAGCTGCGCAGCTAAAAGTAGCTTCCAGAAGGCCTCCCAGAATAATGTTCCGACCAGGCAACGTCTTTTGAGACGTTGGCGACAAGGGAGGGTGATCCGAGCCAAACTTTGGCTTTGCTGGAGAGATGCCGGCGTTTTCATCAATCTTCCACATCTTGATATGCCGGATGCCGAGAGTAATGAGGTTGTTTCCCAGCCAAACCATATCTTTGACGTAGGATGTACACCTATTTTGCTGAAAGAGTCTTGTCTGGCCATTACGGGGGTCTACTTTCCAGACATACAGATAGCCATCGTTTGCGGCTCCGAGGGAGGCGAGATACTTGGAATCCCCGGACCATGCCACTGCGTTGACGCCAAATGCATGCTCACTAATTGACACTAGAGGAATATCAGAGGATGTATCCTGGAGGCTGAAAATCAAAACCCGAGGCGCATATCCCGTCTCGCCCACGGCCAAGTACTTTCCATCCGGGCTTAGACTGAGGCAGGTGGCCGCCTTGATGCGCTCACGGCTCGTCCACGTCCTAGGTGTCGAACCATCTGCCCAATCTGGCGCACCGTGAGAGTCTCGATAGCCGGCAGCAACACGGTTCCGGCTATCATTAGCCTTTGGGGCCGTCGTCGCCGTCGTCGGTGCAGATGGTCCGTTCTGGGAGGCGGCGTAGAGGGACGCAACGTTGGGGCGAGCTCGGTAGAATCGTTGGGTATACTGGTCGGCGTCGACATGAACAACCACGACGGCACCGCCAGCGGTGTAGGCAAAGGTGGTGCCGACGGCATCAAAGGCGGTGGGTGAGCGGCACGTTGTCCCGACAACTCTCTTGAGCGAAAGGCGGGATTCGAAGACGGGTCGACCGCGCAGCGGAGACCTCGGGCGTCGGGAGGTGAGAAAAGGTGAATTGGAGGGGGTGAGCTTCAGCCGGTTGCTGGAGGGAGTCGCCGTCATCTCGCCGCCATGGACAGTAAGACGAGGACGATGTTTAGGAGGTAACGAGTCGTCGTCGAGTGATCATTGAGATGTGAGAAGGAGACGAAAGATGAGAAGAAGGACGGCAAGAAAAGTTAGAGTCAATGGAAGCAAAGATGAGCGCTATGTTGGGCCGACGATGCCTTGGAGTCGTTGGGCAAAGCAAATTGCTAGATCGGGTAGGACAAATAAGACAGAAATGGAATGACGTTGCAGTTGTCTGATGCTCAAGCTCTGCCCAGTGACAGCTGCTTGGTCAAGATGGTGAAAGCTATCGACATCCATTGGGGTCAGCGCATGTTGCATCTAGCGGGGCAACGCACAGCGCAGAACAGCACAGCACAGCACAGAACAGCACATGGCTAGGGTTCAGGTTCACTCACAGCGACTATGAAGAGAAGAGGGAAGAGAGCAAAGAAGCATCGCCAGAAGAGGGCAAATGCAAATGAAACGCAAACGGGGAGCCTCGGCGAGTCGGGGGCAGCGGCATGTACAAGTAAGATCTGGGCGGAGAGCTGAGATTTCGACACCGGCCTCTGAGGTACAAGGACGAGCACCTGGATTTGCCCGTGCCGAGACTTTTTTTTTTTCGTTCCCCGTGCTACCGGTTGGTTCCCAAGCAGGAGCGCCTCTTGCCGGCGCCACTGCAGTGCAGCCACAAAAGAAACAGCAGAAAAATAAAAAGAAAACCGGTGAATGAAAAAAAAAATTCGAGTTCCGATGATGCAGGTCGACAGGCTCCAGCGGCTCCAGCGCTACAAAATGCGCTACGAGAAGAGTTTTGGAGACAGCTGCCGCTACTTGGGTGGTTCCCGGGGGGGTGCCTGTAGAGCACCGCTTAGCAACGTGCAAGGGGTCTCCAGACAATTTGATCAGGAGAGCTGCCAGTTATAGCGGAAGGCTGGAGCGCTGGAAGCGCTGAAGAGGCCGCTAGGGAACCCGAGCTCAGGCAGGGTGGAGTGTGGACAAGAGGCTGCCCTATCGCAGATGGCCGTCAGAGACATCAAATTGATGCAAAATGGCGCCCAAGAGGCCCCAGAAGCCCAGAAGAAAGACCCCTGTTGCTGGGACACCGAAAAAGGAGATGGGCGAGGGCGCTAACGGGCCATCCATGGATGGTTTGTTCCCTTTTGCGGCAAGGGCCAGTGGTGACGGGATTGTTGATGCTGGAGGGCCATGATGGACCTGGAATGTTAAATGAGATTGAACGGACGAGTACATGTTTTGTAGCTCCAAATTTCAAGCTCCCGTCATTTGTACTATAGTAGTAGTGAGTACATGTATTACCGTATCAATGCCTATGCCCGTGCTGTTTACCCAATCAAGTGAGCAGACGCCTCAGTTCTGCAGCCTCTGAATCACCCCTTGCAAGTACAAACACCCGTGAATATCATCATCACCACCACCAACCCGCCAAATCTCTCCAGACAACAGCCTCATCTCGTTGTACAACCACCATCGTGGCGCCTCCAGTTCCCACAGCCAATGTCGTTTGCGTGATTCCGCCCCCCGTTTCCCATGCGGCAGCATCTCAACAAGACCCCCCGGGGTTCGCCGGGTCAAAAGAAACGACAGCGCGTCATTCGCCCGGCCGCACAAGCACAAAAGTAAAATGACGACGGGCCCTGCCCACCAGCCTCACTTTATTAGGTATTGCTGCTGCATGTCTTATCCGGCGGAGATTAAGTGTATCCCTGTCCAGGCAATAGCATCTAACAATGCCTGGTCAATCTTGCAATCACGGGGCCAATAAGCCCGCTCGTGCCAAAGCCAGTGGTTGACGTCTTGTCTTTCACATCGACTTACACCGATTGAGCATCTACAGTATCATATGGCGGCCTCATACAATGAGATTCTCTCCATGCCATACCATATAGATCAGCATCCTTCATGTCCGCACCCACGCTAGTTTGTTGCGCCGTCATCTTTCAAAATCCGATAGTCTATAGCACCTCAGTTGCTTTTTTCCCATTCCCCTGCCCCTTTTTTTTTCAGCCGTCGCCCATGCCACCAAATCTCATCACGCCTCTCGACTTACGAGCAGTAATTTCTTCCCTTTCCCAGCACACACATGGATATGCGCCACAGAACTCCGTGTTTCTCACCTCCAGTCGACATGTCTCTTACGCGAAGCAGCAGTCGTTGACCTTGGCACTGCTTCAGGCTATCAAGACGCGGATCTATCAAAAGATCCCGCCAAAACAGAGATCAATCTCACACAGACACAGAAGTGGAAGAGCCCCCTTGCATGACCCAGGCAGTCGGACAGTGGTCAAATGGCATATCAGATCCGTCTAGTGTCTTAAAAGGTGCATGTGGATGGCATGAAGCCACCAACGTAGATGCACGTATAAACAACATCCAGCACACTGCCGAATATGGAAATCTCGACACACAGGCACCGCACAATATGACCCTTGCACATCCACGGGATATACATCCTCCTCCAAACATTATCAAACCCCTCCTCTATTTTCCCATTCCCGGTTTCAGCCTCATCTCTAGTCTTCTGTCTCCCCTGCCCATCTAGTAATCCTCAATCCTCAATCCTCCTTAGTCACCTGAAATCCAAACACCCATTGATACATCTCCATGTCTCGCTCTTTATCACCAAAAACACTAGCATTTCCTCTCCAAACCCTGTTGCATGACCTGATTACTTCCTACGTAGCCATGGTGGCTTGCTTTCGTGCTGCGTGAATAGTGCCGCCTTAATTCTACATCGCGAGATGGCCTCAGTTCACGCATGCTTCGACGGTAGCTTACGCGATCGCTGTGATGGGAGCTGCGTTTCATCGAAAACGGGTCAATGAGTCTCCATTGACTTGCAAATGCACATGCGTCCGTTCATCTGGAAGCAAAGTCAACAAAGCCATATGACAACGGAGCATATCATATCTCCAGTGTCCATGCTCCCTAGCAAGCTCAGTGCCAACCCTTGGGAAATAGTTACACTGCCGGTATCCATCTCAAGACAATCATATCATCATACCGTCTTCACAATCATACAGCCGTACTTGAAACTCTTCGTCATTCGCCCTCTTGTTGCTCAGCCTCCCCATTCAGCAAGCCGATCATACATCCGATACCACATAGACCACAATACGGTAAATTGTATCGTCTTTTTTTTTATCCTTTTCCGTTCTCCCTAAGCCATTATATGGGGGTTGGCGACAATTCAAGGGTCAAGATGGGACGGACGCGCTTCGTGAACAAAAGGGGATTTAATACAGACGGCCTTTTTCACACCAACACCAATGACTTTAGCCCCTCCCCCACATCTAGATGACTCTGACTGTTGTACAAGCTTTTTACGCCTTAATTCCCCCTCTATACCCGTAGACCCAGCTCCTCAGCATAAGGCAGCACAAACAAGTCACCCACGGTGGAGACTGTCGCCTTTCCGTCAAGGAGAGCCTTGGCGGTCTGAACGAAGAGAGAGAAAAACGCATGTCAGCATAGCTCAGAAAGTAGGTTGGGGGACCGGGGAAAGGGGGGAAACGATAAGTTACTCACAGTCTTCAGCTTATCAGCAGTGACAGCGTCGAGAGACTTGGTCAGGGCAACGAGGTCCTGGACCTTGCCGTTGTGGACGAGACCGGTACCGGCCAGCAGAACGCTGGAGCCGCGGGTCTGGGCCTTCTCGAGCAGGTTAAACTTGGCGTTGGCGACAGCCTTGGCCACGTCCTCCTTGCTGACGGTGCCGGCGGCGATGGCCTTGAGGGCCTTGACGGTCTCCTCGGCAGCCTTGCGAACAGAGGCGGCGGCACCAGACAGCTGGACGGTCAAAAGACCAGCGTCGGAGTAGGCCTGGTTGGAGGAGGCAATGGAGAGACCAGGAGTTCCGGCAGTGGCCTTGGACAGGAGGCTGAAGCCAGGGGCCCACTTGATGGTGGACTGGCCACCGAGAAGGGTAGCCAGAACCTCGATCTCGGGCTTGGAGCCAGCGGCGTCGGATCCGGGGAAGGCAATCACAACGGCGTTGCCAGAGGTGTGGCTGGTTCGCTGCTCACCACCAAAGTACTTGGAGGCCTCGGTCTTGAGCGTCTGTCCGCTGCTGGCGGTAGCAGGAACGCCCTTGAAGAACTGGTTAACCCACTTGGACAGGGCCTGCGAGCCAGCACCGTCGGCGACAACGGCAATGTTGGGCTTGGAGTAGACGACGTCGGCGAAGCTGGCAACGTACTCCTCGTTGACGTACTTCTGGAAGGGAGCAGTGGTGGAGGGGTTCAGGGCGGCACCGAGACCAGAGTGGAAGGCCACGGCGTGAGCGTTGTCCAGAGCGAGGCCGGCAACGTCGGCGTTGACAGCGGCCTTCTTGTAGGGCAGGACTCGTTCAATCTCCTCGTGGAACTCGTGGGCTACATGACAGACAAATTTTTTAGCCTCCGTCGTGAAGAATCAGCTTTTTCTAGATTTTGCGATCCGGCCATCTCTTACTGGTGTACTTGGTCTGGGACACAACCTCGGCCAGGAGCTCGGCGAAGTAGGGCAGATCATCGCGCAGGAAGCTGGCCTCGATGACGAGGGCCTCACGGGTGTGAGAGGCAGTCAATTGGCCTCCGAGAAGCTCAGACTCGCGGGCAATGCGCAGGGCAGATCGTCGCTGGGTGGTCTAGAGCCGATATAAAATTAGCTCAAGCGACGCCAACAAGCCTCGAAAAACCCAGCAGAATGCGCCCTTACCTTGAAGGCAAACTGCTCCAGGCCGTAGGTCAGTCCGGGCAGAGGCTGGTAACGAGTTCCGGCCTTGGCCACAACCGCCAGCGTCGTGGTCGGTCCGTGGGCATCCTTAGAGGCAATCTTCAGCCCACTGACATCGGCAGTCTCGTACGATGCGGTTGGGGCAGCGGCGGCGGCATAGCCGCGGCGAGGGACGGCGCCGGACCGGCGGGCGGCCTGTTGCACGCTTCGAGAGAGAGCCGATCTCGAAATCATGGTCGAGGGTGATGGCGTAGTCAATTGACGGTCCTTGAGGCGTCGTGATGGAGCAATGGATCGCCGAAAAAGAAGTGCCTCGTCGTGCAGCTATCCGTCTAATTTTCGGCAGCCGGGGAGAGGTTGGCTCGATCACGTGATGCGCCGCGGATATCCATCTTTGCGCTCCAAAAGTTGCCTCTTGACGTTCGGTTTGTAATCAGTAGCTTGCCGTCTTTTTCTTTCTTCTTTTTCTCTCTCTTCTCCTTGTCTTTTCTTTCCTAGGCAAGGGGAAATTATACCATGGCTTCGCTAAACATGCACAGAGCAGCGTCGCGATTCGTCGCCGCCGCAATCTCGAGGCCGTTGCCGGCATGTCGAATCGCAGTAGCCTCTCAGCGGCATCTGAGCACCGGCATGCGGATCCCAGTCATTGCCGCATCACGGCCTCACGCCAGGAAGACACAGCGCCCCATCCCGAGCGGCGTACGGACAATCTTCATCCAGACTGAAAACACACCAAACCCGGATGCCCTCAAATTCTTACCGAACCACCGCATCATCCCGCCAGACATGAGCACCCCGTTTATAGAGTATCTAAACCCGCGAGCTACGATTTCTCCGCCGCATCCCTCGCCCTTGGCCGCGAAGCTCATGAACATTGACGGCATAACCTCAGTCTTCTACGGAGCCGACTTTATCACCGTAACCAAGGCTGGAGATGCCAATTGGGCCCATGTGCGACCCGAGATCTTTGCTCTCATAACCGAGGCTATCACTTCCGGCGAGACTATAGTCAACGTCGCGGAGCGCAAGGGGGACGAATCCGCGGCTGTGGAAGAAGACAGTCTTGCTTACAACGAAAACGACAGCGAGGTGGTGGGCATGATCAAGGAGCTGCTGGAAACGAGAATCCGCCCGGCCATCCAGGAGGACGGTGGTGACATTGAATTCCGCGGCTTCGAGGATGGCCAGGTGCTGCTAAAGCTGCGTGGAGCTTGCCGGACATGCGACTCAAGTACAGTGACATTGAAAAATGGCATTGAGGGCATGTTGATGCATTATGTGAGTCTAATCAAGTTGCTGTTACTAAACAATTGTCCACTGACCGTCGGGTTCTCCTGTCGCATAGATTGAAGAAGTCCAGGGAGTAAAGCAGATCCTGGACGAGGAAGAAGAGATTTCTCTGCAAGAGTTTGCCAAATTTGAGGAGAAGCTGAAGCAGCAGCAGAAGGTAGCCGAGGCATCATGAAGCCCAGCTCAGACTGGTGTTCTGTCCGCAAGGCAGTCTGTACGTTAGGAGGCATGACATGTAGAAACGCAAGTAAAGTAAAACGATACCCTCACACACATACACCTAGGCACACGCATACAGAACTTGTAAAATCATCGTAGTCACAATTCCTGTATTTTCACCTGTATGTACATGTACAGCTACTGCGTATTTTCCGGTGTCCAATGCATGACGCATTTGTGGTGTATCAAATCAAGATGATATAATTGGAGGTTCCAAAACATCCAGCCAGAGACAAGGCTTAAAGTACCTGCAGCTGCCAAAAAGTCTCCAGCCGCCGCCACAGGCAAGTATAAGTACCTGCTGCCTTACGCTCAGCGCTTGCCCCACCTTCCCTTTTGGCTCACCCTCTGCCCGCAAAAAAATCGGCGGCCCATCCTGTAGCTCGCAAAACACATCACTGAACCTTCAACTTTTTTTTTCCGCTTCATCTTCACTTTGACCCGACCAACGCTGCGACTTTCTCTCACCGCCCTTCCAGCCCTATCGAAGCACGAAGATTCCGGATTTGTTGCGGCACAAGTCAATGACTCCGAGGTAGCACCTGTGACAGCTCTAGAGATAGTGAGAGGATCTCTAGGAGCAAGCAATGTTCGTCGTTAGTCACACTCGCCGTTTGCATCGAATCGAGGTGGGAGGAGACATCAGGCTGACTCCGGCGACATATGCAGACTAAACATGCGGCGGAGCTTTGCGCTCTCCTAGTCAATGATCTCTACGGCGAGCTTCCTTCGGTATGTTCCATGTCTTTATCCATTGGCGCCGTCGTTCGATACCACGACCATTGCGCTCTTCGCTTCCATGTTGGATAAAGGCTGACTCTGTTTCTTTTGGCACTGCTGTAGCGAATCCTCGCCGCGCTCCTCACAAAAGGCCGATCGACCATCACGCAGCTCGGGCTCTATACGCAGCTGGGCCCCCGCCAAATTCGCAATGGCCTGGGCGTCCTGATCCAGCAGAATCTGTTATACCACCACACCGATGCCGACACCAAGCGCACCACCTATGAAGCCAACCCCGGCGCATGCTATAACCTCGTTCGATCCGGCAAGATCCTGGAGATGATTGAGAGCCAATATGGAACGGCAGAGCGCGACCTCGTGCAGACTCTTCTGCTTCTTGGATATGCAAGGATCGCCGAGCTGACTCACGCATACGTATCCCGAGCTCCAAGATCAAATGGGCACGCAAACGGCAACGGTGTGAATGGAGCCGACTCTGGTCTGATTGAGTCCGAAGCCGAACTTCACAATGTGCTGAGCCACTTGATTCGATGCGAAATCATTGAGACCGTTAGGCCGCAGTCTTTCCGCAATCCAAACGATGTTTACCACGAAATTGAAGCGGAGGTCACCAAGACCGCCCCGGGTGAAAAGGCAACCAAAACAAAAATTGATCAGCAGAGGCAGATCATGGAGCAATATCGTGCGTTTAAAGACCAGCCCAAGGCTCTGAAGAGACAGCTTGACCAGTTTGGTGGTCCCGTAACCAAACGAAGAAAGCTCGGGAATGGATTGGGAGAGGAGGATAGGGCGATGGAAGACGATATGCCACCTCTTAATGTGAGATTCCCTCCTTGCTTCCCCCATGTTGCGAGTACATTCGGCTCATTGAAACCCACCAGCCAAACGTGGTTGTCAGGGTAAATTACGACAAGTGCCTAGTTGAGCTGCGTAGCCACCGTCTAGCCAGCTTCGCCAAGGACACTCTGGGAGAGGTTACCGGCGAGGTCTATCGCACGCTGCTAGGCCTGCTTACCATGGATGTGTCTAGGTGCCGGGCAGATCCTTTCCTGGGAGAAGAGTCAATTGCTCAACAAGCGACAGCCACGACGATGGATGTCTACGAGCATCTTGACGAGTCGATCAACGTCACAGCAGGCATAGGGAAGGCCCCTAAAGATAAGATAGATTACCAAAGTGCAGAGAAGATCAAAACTGCGCCCGCCGGCAACGACATGCTTGGTGATGACTCGGACGAAGACCCATCGGGGCCGTTTGACAGCGATGATTCGGACGACATGGGCACAAAGGGGAGCTTTTCCAGAAGATCTCGGTCGGTATCCAAGACCAATGGAGCCCGGCCAACCAAGGTGACATTTGAGGATGCAGCGACATCGACGGATAATCGTCTAGACCAGATGCGCGCGCATCTCTTATTACTAGCAGAAAGCAAGCACCGCTTCATTCGCCACTGCGGAACACAAGGCCGTGGGCAATGGACGGTGGATTTCGACCAGGTTATGGAGCGCCTTCGAGAGACGGAGCTGGATGCCTCCATCGAACAATCTTTTGGGAGACATGGACTTCGCCTCACCCGAATACTCCGAGAGAAAGGCAAGCTGGATGAGAAGATGCTGCCTTCTGCGGCGCTGATGAAGAAGACGGACGTGCAGGCCAAGATGCTTGCCATGCAGATGGCTGGTCTGGTGGATGTCCAAGAAGTTCCCAAGGACAACACAAGAGTGGCCAACAGGACGCTCTTTTTCTGGTTCTTTGATCGGGAGCGAAGCCAGGCACAGATCCTGGATGACTTGTACAAGGCAATGGTTCGCGCTCTGCAGACACTACAGGTGGAGAGACACAGGGAGCGCAACATTCTGTCCTTTGTCGAGAGAAAGGACGTCATGGGAAAGGAGGAAGAGGTGATGACGGCGGAGCATTACAACAAGTATAACAGGCATTTGGAGGAACAGAATAAGCTTCTTGGACAAGTTATGAGACTGGACGAGACGGTGTCGACATTCCGGGAATACTAAAGGCATTGTACCAATATAATTGAACTCTATCTCGTGTAACTGCTGCTCTAGATTGTCATTTTCATTCAAACCTGCAGGTGAAGCGAACATGTGTCTGGTCTAAAACTGCTTTCTCGTTAGTAGAAGATGTATTTTAACAGTCCTTTCTTCCATTTTTTAAAGAGAAATCACCATGAAGTTTAAGCCGCATTATCCGTTATTAATAAGTGCCTCTTCCATCCGCCACAGTACTAATAAGTGTCATTGTCCTGAGAAATCTCCCGTCTGCTGCTTCGGCTACTAAGCCGCGGCAGTGAAGCTCAAGACAGGATCTTCTTTACGACCTCGGTCTCATAACTACTCCCGACACAATGCGGCTTCAACAATGGCGCGGTCACAGGCTGCCAAGACGCCTGAGCACCCGTAAATACACGGGCGTTTGCTCATCTCACATGTCTCAAAAGAATTCTTTCTACTTCTCTCTCTCTTCTTTTCTCTTTCTCGTTCGCCGAATACCCTGCGCCAAACCAGCCCCGGCTCCTCCAGGGTAGCGCCACGATTAAGCTGCACGAAAATAAGAGTCAATATCAGCCAGAAAAGATCGTCCGATACAGCGCAAATTACCCCTCCAAAAACCCGCTAGAGCCACAGCGCCAAACCTCTCGCGTGCCCGCCGAAAATCGGTCCCAGTGCTGAAAGTGTTGACCACAAGGTTCCTTATCGGCAGCCCGAAAGCGTCATAAGATATCCAACAGCCAGAAAAAAAAAAAAGTTTCCCATCCACAAGCAAAATATTCGGCGGAACCTTTTTCTTGTTCTTCCCATCTTCCCTTTTTTCGTGCTTGTGCGAAGGGGTCTTGATTTGTTCTCTCTCTGGTTTATTTTCTGTATACCCTTGGTATTGTGTAATATTTTTTTTCTTTATCTTTTCACAAACCTTCTTCACAAAATGTCACCACCGGCCTCTGGAGGATCGAAGGAGTCAAACCTGGCTCGCCTGCTCGGTTCAGGTACGCAACAATCCTCTCTTGCGCGCGCCCAATTGCGAGCGCGGACAACGAATTGTGGCTGATGAATGGATTTCAGGTTCCGCTGGTATTTCTGAGCTGGCAATTTTCCATCCCGTATGTCGCCCGGAAGGAATCGCAGAAACCATCAACGCCTTGACTGACGATTTTTTTTGCGCTCTTGATAGGTGGATACGATCGCGAAGCGATTGATGAGCAACCAAACCCGAGTAAGGACGCATTCACCACAGCTCCCCTTGTGCAGCAATATGCGCGGCAATTGAAGGGGGAGCGGAATCCATGAATTCCGAATCATCCAGCTGAACATGATGTGCAGGTTGCCTCCGCCAGCCAATTGAACCAGGTCATCTTCAAGGACAAGGCCTCGGCGCCCTTTGGACGAAAGTTTGTGTCGCTGTTCCCGGGCCTGGGCTATGCCGCCGGATACAAGGTCCTGCAGAGGATATACAAGTATGGAGGCCAGCCCGTTGCGCGCGACTTCTTGGGCAAGCACTACGGCAAGGACTTTGAGAATGCCTTTGGCAAGAAGACCGGCAAGGCCATCCTGCACTCGACTGCTGGCAGGTAGGAGAAGTCGCTGAAGAAGTTTTGTTTCTGAAATTCTGTTGCTGACTTGGCGATAGCTTGATCGGCATCGGAGAAATCGTCCTGCTGCCCCTCGATGTGCTCAAGATCAAGCGCCAGACGAACCCCGAGGCTTTCCGTGGCCGTGGCGTCCTCAAGATTGTCGCTGACGAGGGTTTCGGCCTGTATCGAGGCTGGGGATGGACTGCTGCTCGAAACGCTCCCGGGTCTTTCGCTGTGAGTCCCATCTGCTTCTGCATTCTGCGCGAGTGGCTCGAGTGATTCTGTGCTGACGAATGTACCAAATCCAGCTCTTCGGAGGCTCTGCTTTCGCCAAGGAGTACCTGTTCCACCTTGAAGACTACAACAAGGCCAGCTGGTTCCAGAACTTTGTCGCTTCCATTGCTGGTGCCTCGGCCTCGCTCGTCGTCTCTGCTCCCCTCGATGTCATCAAGACCCGAATCCAGAACCGCAACTTTGACAACCCCGAGAGCGGCTTCCGAATCCTGACCAACATGGCCAAGAACGAGGGTCTGCCCAGTTTCTTCAAGGGCCTTGTTCCCAAGGTACGATGATTGATACGGTGTCGCTGATGGCTTTGCTTCTGCTATTGCCTGCTGCTTTGTCATCTCTTTGATGATGCAAGTGGAGGGATGATCGCAATAGCAAGCCTTCATTTAGACACACCCCTCCCCCTTCCTCTCTACTAAACTGAGACTGACATGAAATGTTTTGCAGCTGCTCATGACTGGACCCAAGCTGGTCTTCTCTTTCTGGCTTGCCCAGACTTTGATCCCTGCTTTCGACACCATGTTCGCCAAGCAGCAGCCGAACCACGCATAAACTATAACGCAATATGTACAACCTACAAATGATGAACGAGGAAAAAAAAAACTTCTCCAATTGAATTATTAAAAAGAAGAGAAATACAAGGAGGGAAAATAAAAAGAAAGAGACAGAGAATACTGGGCTACGGCGTCTTTCTTTGGACAGTGTTTACAGGCGCCGTTGGGCTCGGGATGTTCTTGGCCGCCATGGATGGCATGTATAGAACGACTCTGCTCTGTGTAGAATTAGATAGTTAGCGATCAAACCATGAATAGGACGTATCCTTACACACAAAACTACGCGTATTGGATCGTATCCATCCACTTACACGCTTCGACAGCAGATGAGCGCACAGGGCAACGGCAACGCATCTCCACCAGCCACCGAAGCGAAATCTCCATCAGATATCCCCAGCAATGGCCCCAAAATATTGACGTGGCTTGACGCCGTGTGCCTTGCGCCGAGTCCTGATTCGCCATAATCCATCACTCATCGAGAGCCAGAGCCAATGAATGAATGTGTTTCCCCCCTGTACGAGTACGATCACCGTGGTAAAAAGGCATGCACAAACGCCCAATTCCCGGCACTTGGTTGCCCGGCAACGCGCCAATGGCGCAACAAACAAAACACCCCTGTCCGCTGCCCGCCTTCTTGACGAGCCCGTTCACCCCAAAAGCGTCCCCATCAGAACAATTCCAACCACCCGCAACTTTTATCAAGCCTATCTTTTTTATGAAGAGCCGAGAGTTGTGAAACAACGAAACGCTGAAAACTCCCCATCTTTTTTCCCAAGATTGGGAGTTGGAGGCGTCAGCAGCTGCTTTTTCCTTGCTGAAGCAGTTTCAACGCCTTTTTTTTTATTTTATTTCTCACTCTCTGCAGCAGGCTGCACACCGCGATATAATATTTACGAGTACAGCCGAAATACGAAAATACATAATCCCACCATCAACATCTCTCTCCCCTCTAGCGCCGCAACCTGATTGCTGATATTTACGGCGGGCGTTCTACTTTGGCAATTTCTCGTCCTTTCTCGCCCCATTGCACGCCGCATTCCATCGAGGGCGAAAGCATGCCATATACCGGGCGACAAGGCTCATTCGACGGAGATCCCTACCTGAGACATCAACATTCAGCTTCCTCGGAGCGAGGACTCGTCCCAATGTGCGTATCCCCTCACCTCATCAAGCCGCCATGTTGCTTTGGCGTCAATTAACCCGTAGCAGGTGGGACGGTGCAGAGTCTGAGCGCGCGCTGCCGCAGCCGCCTGTCAACCACCAGTCGCCCAAGCATTCCGCGCGCACAAACACATCGCCGTATCCAGTGTCGAGCGCCATCCAGTCTGCTCATGCTGCGCTGACCGAGCGGGTTCGCGATAACCACGGCGCCCACATGCCCCCTCCCGTGTCCAAGCGCGTCAACGACACATCGCCGGACAGATCCATCGCAAAGGGCACCGGGCCTCACCGCAGGCTGCAGTCGATGGCCTCTGGCTCTGTGCGGGACATCAGTATGATGCTGGAGAACAACTCGGGCACCCCCAGCAACAACACGTCTCCCACAAAGTCCTTTGAAAGATCGGAGAGGAACGCCAGGCCGTCAACGCCGCCAGGACTCCGAGAGGTCAGCTCCTTTGAAGTACCTCGCACCAGCATCTACGATAAAGAGATGAACCTCTCGACGCAATCGCTCTCAAGCAGCATAACGCCCATTGTGCGACCTACCGTCCGTCGACCGGCACCGCAAAGCATTCTGTCGGAGAACACTCCGCCCCAGTCGTCAACCATGCTGGCCTTGCAGAGCATGCCTAGCGGATCGCCCACCAAGGAAGCAGAGCCGCCGCTCTCCAACATCACCAACGGCGCCAAGGGAGCAACCATGGACTCTCTGGCATCGCAGATTCTTAGTCTCACCAGCATCGCGAGCTCCCTGCAAAAGGAAATGGCGGCTCTCAGCCGACGCAGCAGAGACAATGCCACGGATCTGCTCAGCCTCAAGGAGGCGACAAACACTCGAGACGAGGATATCAGAAAGAGCCTCAGGGATTTGCTAGGCAACATCAATGAGACTTCAGCCAAGATTTCCTCAAGGGACTCGTACAACGGCGGCTATTTCCTTGACAACAAGCCTCACCCGCAGTCACCCAACAGTGGGCGAACGTACCAAATGCCCCGGATTCCCTCGCCCAAGAGCTTTGCTGAATCCATCGACCGCGCGTCCATGAGCACGCCATCCTTGGTGGGCGGTGACAACTCGGGTGCGATTTCCATTCTCCTGCTGGAAAAGATTCTCCGCGGTCTTGGTACCAAGGATGGACAGGAGTCGCTCCTCAGCCATCTCCTTGAGCTTTCGGAGAAGCTTACCGGTATGGCAACTGCTGCCAAGGTAGAGGAACTAGTCGACTTTGTTCGTCTCCAAACTGAGAGTGCCATGGTGCCCATGAGCGCCGCCGGTCACGCTCGGAGATTCAGCCTGGACCGCGAGGGCAGCATCCACCATGGCCCAAGCAGTGCTATTGCTCCGCGGTCGCTCAACCACTTGGACAGCCGCCGGGCACCGGGTTCCCAGGGCATTCTAAACGACGATGTCATCAACATCATTCGCTCAGTCAAGGATAGCGTTGCGGCAGGCGGCGGCCTCACTGCAGAGGTCAAAGCACTTGTGCGAGAACTCCGAGGCGAAGTGCTGGGGATGGGCCGTGAACTCGGCAAGAGACTGGAGAGTGTCGGCAGAAAGACGGGAGACAACACCGAGCCATCGCCCTCGGCTAGTAAGGATGAGGTTTCGCGGGTCATTGACGAGGGACTGGAGCAGATGAAGGAGCAGCTCACACATGTTCTCAAGGAACACCGCCGCCAGTCTCAGGCGTCCGCGGCCCTGCAAAAGATCACAGTCGACTACCAAGAGATATATACTGCCCTGAGGAGAGCGCTCAAGGACATTGATGCCACCAAGGAAATACCAGACCTGAACAGGGACGACGTCCTTGAGGCTGTGCGCGAAGCTTGGGAGACTTACAAGCCCGAGATTGAAGTACAGCAGATTGGCCTGGAGAGGGACGAGATCCTCGAGTGCTTGAAACAGGGTCTCCAGGAGTACGAAAGTCGCAACCAAATGCCTCCGGCAGCCACGAGAGATGAAATCTTGACGGCCGTCGTCGAGGGCCTAAAGCACTACGTACCCCCCCAGATGGACACTCAAGCGTCCATGTCCAGAGATGAGATTATCGAAGCCGTCCGCGAGTGTCTGGAGGAATTCGAATTTCCAGTGGCCCCGTCTGCGATTGGCAACGAGCTAACACGAGAGGACATGCTCCGTGCCGTCAAAGAGGGCCTCAGCGACTTGGATCTGGGAAAGAGCAACGCTCTTGTGCCGACTCGCAATCACGACGAAATCAGTGGCAAGCTGCACGAGCTGATGGACTTTATGAAGCTCGAGTTTAGATCCATTTCTGACAACAACGGCCGCGAGACTGATCAGCTCATGGATGCCACCAAGGATGGCCTTGAGAATCTCCGCGTGGCCATCGAGGGCTACGTTGACCGTGCCACTGGGGCCGCCGGCCAAGAAGACTTCTTGGACGGCCTCCTCAAGAGCATGGAGGAATTCAAGGATGAGGTTTCAACGCTTGTGTCCAAGGCTAACGCAGCTTCTCGGGACCAGCTTCAGACGGAGCTGGAGGGACTTCGAGACGTTGTTCACTCGTCCATGGTTCCCGCTGCTCCCCTGATGTCACAACCACACAACGAGGAGCTCCTTGACGCTCTGCGGAATGGACTGAGCAACCTTCGACAAGAGATCCTCCGACCGCGGCCAGAGACTAGTGAAATTCTCGACGCTCTTAACGATGGCCTGAATGACATTCGCGCTGGCATTGACAGAATCACCAACAAGCCGGTTGATCTCACAGCAAACGATGAGATTCTTGACGCCCTCAAGGAAGGCCTGGACGGTGTACGGTCCGACATTGGCACCATTCGAGACTCGAGCAACGATAGGGCGGTTGCCATCCGTACCGTCCGTGGTGGCGATAGCGACAACGACAACGAGATGGCGATTATCCCTGCTGATATGGCCAAGCACGACGATATCAAGAATCTCGAGATCCTCATCACTTCTTTGCGCGCCAAGATTGAGGAGATTAAGCCGAATTCCACTGCCCCGGCCGCGGCCGCGGCTCCCAAGGTGGACCTTTCCCACTTGGAAGGCATGCTTCGCGATGTCCAGCGGGGCGTCGATGAGCTCAAGTCTCGTGCACCAGTGGTGGTCCAAGCAGCGAAGCCACGCGGCGGATCGGAGCCAGACAAGGACGACGCCGAGAAGCCAAAGGAGGAGGAGGAATACGTCATGAGAAGCATCCCCTCCATCTTCACCAAGAGCGGTGGCAACCCGACCAAAGAGGACGTCGCCGCCATTGAGAATATTCTGCGTAACACCAAGTCTCGCGTGGATCATCTGATTGACGGTGACCAGGCGGTGCGACGGGAGCATATCGACACTTTGGAGTCGCTCATCCTGGAGTCTCGAGAGGCCATTCGATCAGTCAACAGGCAGTTGGAAGACATCCCCAACCTGTTCCACAAGGATGACTTTACCAAGCTGACGAAGATCATCTCGGAACTCGCTGAGGGCCTGCAAGATATCCAGGAGCACGCCGAACGAGAGGCTAAGAGCCCAGAAAAGGTCAAGAAATCGGATGTGCACGCCGTCGAAACGGTCGTGCGCGAGATCAAGACTCTGGTGGACGGAATTGCCGTTGCGGATTTCGCCACGATTACGACCCGGGAGGATCTTGGCAAGCTGGAAGCCGCCATGAAGGAGACCAAGGAAACTTTTGAACACTACCACGAGGCGTCGTCAAAGGCGCTTGTTGACCGCCAGTCCGACATCAAGACGTTCCTCGAAGAGTTCCAGACGGAGATGCGGAACAAGCTCGTGGACGGTTCCACGGGCATCGAGGGCATCGGCAAGGCGCTCAAGACCATGGGCGAAAAGGTTGACAAGAACGAGAACGTCGCCGGGGATGTCAAGGACATGTTTGAAGCCATGAAGAGCGAGTTTGAGATTTCCAAGGAGGCCATCGCCGGGTCCAGGATCGAGTCGAACGAGAAGCTCGACGAAGTTACGGAAAACATTCGTGCCAAGATTGACGACAAGATCAGCGAGGTGCTGGCCAAGAACGAGGCGCTCCGGATCATGATGGACGAAAAGTCGCAGGCCGCCGAGGCTCGCGAGATCGTGACCGAGTCTGCCGTGGCAGGTACCAAGGCCGTCGCCGACGAGCTGAAGCTTCTGATTGATACTCTCGGCTCGACTGTCACCGACTCCTTGGAAAAGATGGAGGAAGCTTCCAAGATTGTCTTCACCAAGGTCGAAGAGGTGGCCGCTCGCTCCGAGGAGACTCACAACGAGGGCAAGGCCGATCACCAGCAGACGCGCGATCAAGTCGAGGCAGCCGTTGGCAAAGTCCAGAGCAGCGTGGGTGAGTACCAGCCGCAGATTCTGGAGGCAGTCAAGAGCATCCTTGGTCTCGTTGGGGATCACTTTGAGCACTCCAAGACCATCCAGGACAAGGTGGTTGGGGCGATTCCCACGGAGCAGGCTTTCAGGGCCATGATGCCCGAGAAGTACGACGATGCCGTAGTGCACGAGAAGCTGGACAAGATGTTGCAGCATAACGACGCTGCCGCGCAAGCCCTGGTCCAGCTCCAGACGCTCGACAAGGTGCACCGTTCCGTCTCCGACAGCGCCGCCGAACTGTCCGAGTTCCTTTCCAAGCAATCAAGGCACATGGTGGAAGAGCGCGACAACCGCGCCAGGATCCTGGAAGAGACCAACATTGCCCTTGAGCGAGCTAACACCGAGAGGGAACATGCTGAGGCTTCCGTCAAGACGCTCAAGGAGGAGGAGGAGTGGCTGCGACGGAGCCTGTTGTCTCTGCGGACCGAGCAAGAGGGCTTGTTGAAGCAGAAGACTCGCCTCACCGGCGATGTCTCTGCCCTTGAGACTGCACTGCGCCTGCGCAAGGAGGAGCTTCACGAGATGGAAATTCGGGCCGAAGGCTTGGAACGACGAATCTTTAATGGAGTCATGGACCACTCTCGTGTGCTTCTCTTTGGCAAAAAGGCCAAGGACGGCGCAGATTCCATGAATCGCAAGCGGGTTAAGAAGCCAGCGGGCGAGGACGGCACACGAGCCATCCCCACGCATCTCTCCGCAACAAGAACCCCCATGGCGCCTGGTCAAACGGGAACCCCGCGACGTATTGCGTCGCTCAGTCAGATGACGAAGAACGTGGCATCGAGCACCATTACAAGAAGCCATAGTGTGAAGACACCAGGTGTGAATGTCAACGGCCACAGGAAGCGCAGCTGGGGAGGCACGCAGCAGAAGAGCGGGCTGAGCGAGGAGACCAAGGAGAATGTGAGCGTTGACGAGACGGTGGAAGAGCTCGACGAGGGCGACATGGTCAACGTGACGCACGAGTCTGCGGTGCATGACGCCGCTGGCGACAGCTCAGAGTACGAAGAGGAAATTGACGAGGATGACGACGAGGACGCTCGTGAGAGGCACGACGAGAGCGATGGCACGCAGAGGCGACGGATCAGCAAGGGCAGCTCTGCGTATGAGGACGAAGACTCTGGAAGTGAGTACGAGGAGAGCATCGATGGCGACGAGGAGCCCCATGCCGCTGTTGTTGTTCGGTAGACGATGACGATTGGGAAATTAACGAGAGAGCCTTTGAGAGGTTATGAATTGTTTTCGGTTGGAGGCTGTGTTGGCTTTTTTACACCCCCTTTTTCCTTCTCTTCTCTTCTTTTTCGCTTCTTTTGCTTTACTTTGCCTTCTTTCGTTCAACAGGGATGGATAGTTATGAGGAGACATGATAGCCGCTTGTTTGTTTGATACCTGTATGTAGCTTTTGAATGATAATTGACAGTCACGTTATATTATAATATCACTTTGTTGTTGCATAACATTGTTTGACTTTTGTGTGACTGGTTGAGTTTAGAGGTTGAGAGTTGGATAGTTGTTGGGTAGACATGTCAATTTTCCTCGACTCTTGATCTAAATGAATGAAGCAATCTTGTTGTACATCAGTAAGCAATTGCATTGGATAGACGCTCAGCTTAGGAATGTTTTTGATACCTTGACAAGTACACCATGTTGGCCACCTTGTGCTGCCATGGATGATCTATTATGAGGGCGACGAATAGGTCCACGAGGCCGTACGGCCCCCCATAGGTGCACGGGACCCTTAGTCAGCAAAAGCCCGCTATAACAACCACTGTAATTTTCTTCTAGCTGCCCCTATAGCCATCTTCTTTACAACATTAAACCTTGCATCCATTTCAACTGCCGTTATGGATCAATCTACAACTTCTCTTCCTCCCGAAACGGCCTATCGATCTAGAGAAGAATTAGAGCTTAATTTAGATCATTACGCAGCAATTGGCGGCTATAAATGGGTTACTCGAAGGTCCAACTTTAGAAAAGACATTTGCCGATGGAAGATGGTCTATTCTTGCAACCAATTCCGCAAAGGCTGCCAGTTCTCAATCAACATTACAGAGCTTCGCGATAGCCATTGGGTTGTTCGGCATCGACCAGGAGCCCAGTTTTGCAGCCATAACCATCCACCCAATACACTGATTCAACAGCCGCAAAGACGGCCGCAAAGACGACTACCAATTCAACCACCAAGTCAGCAAAGCCAACCACCAATTCAACCACCAAACCAACCACCAATTCATCCACCAACCCAACAGCAGCAAAGCCAACCACCAAGCCGGCTGCCACAGCCGTCGCGCCAAAGCCTGCTACGGCAGATCCATCGACAGCTCCAGAAGCTAGAAGAGATGCTGCAGAAGCTCTCAGAAGAGCCAGAAGGAGAGCCGCAGAGGGAGCCGGAAAGGGAGCTCCAGCCAGCAAAGAAGAAGAAGACACCTACCTGTAGCAAATGCCATGTAAACGGCCATAGAAGAGGAGCAAAAATATGTGCCCTACTAAGAGACAGAAGCAGCAGCCCGGAAAGATAGGTACATGTTACCTTGGGGAGCTAGAAGAAAAATTACAGTGGTTGTTGTAGCGGGCTTTTTGCTGACTAAGGGTCCCGTGTGGCTGTACGGTCTCGTGGACTCATTGATCGCCTCGCTGCAAACAAATCCCGATATGGTTATCAGCTGTTGGCACGGTGGGGTGTCAATTGAACTCGAGGGAACCGCCAAAAAGCTGCTAAAAACAACTTCCAATTATCGCATCTCCCTATTTTCCAATACACACGTCACGATATAACAAGCTGAAGAAAAAAAAAAAAGAAAAAAAGACGCGTGCTTCCAGTCAGAAAGCAAGCAAACAAGATAGGAAAAAAAGCATTAGAAAAAAAACCACCATGGAGCAGCAGCAACACGGCGGCCTCCTCTCGCCGCCGGAGCTGTCGCCTCTAGAGCAGGAAGTCCTAGAAGAGTACGAGCGGCTATCAACAAACATGAAGACTGTACGTGTCCCAATGGCCTGTTTCCATTCTTTTCCCTCTTATTGAACCGTGCCGATTGGATGCTAATGGGATGTCGACAGCTGGCGACTCTGCTGGACAATCTGGCGTCGAACCCGACCGTCGGGATCCTCGACGGGCTGCGGGAGCTGGAGCGCAAGACGAGCTTGGCGTTTACGCTGCTCAAGGCGAGCGTGTACAGCATTGTGCTGCAGCAGGAGATTGATTGGGGCGCTGGGGCCGAGGAGGAGAAGGAGGAGACCAAGGTGGAGGAAGAAGACGAAGAAGAAGAGTAGCCGTGATGGTTTGTTTTGGGGGGGGAGATGTTTGGATGTTATGATTAATGATACCCTGAATCAATGGCGAGGAAATCTTCGGTTTGAGTGTATATACAGTTAGCTAGGGATTTCATCGTCACGTATATTGTATATAGCACTGTTGTTCTTTGTTTTGTTTTTTTGCTTGCTTGCAAGATGTATATTCATTTTCCAGCGTTACAATACTTGTACACAGAGTAGTGTGTCTCGACATTCACCACTCGCAACCCCTTCCCCCCTTTATTTCTAACAGCCCTTTTCCTTTTCTACAAAAAAATTCCCCGTTTTTGGTTTTCCAAATAACCCACCCGTTCAATATATATTGCCGCCATAGTACACCTTTCGCACATCCACCATCTTCTTGCCCCGTCCAATGGCAATCTCCTCGGGGTCGACCTGGTTCATCAGCGCGTCGTACGCCGCCTTGACCGAGTTCATGGGGTTCTTGGACCGGGGCATGCGCGCCGCAATGTCGTGGATGCCAGAGGCGCGGCACATTTCGAAGATGCGGTGCGGGCAGCGAAGACCGAAGCCTTGAAAAATCGACATGTCAGTATACCAAGCCGCAGTTGGAGCATCGTCTTCTTTTCTATTCTTTTCTTACCTGGAGGGCGGGCAAACAGCTCGACGACGGTGCCCGAAACCTTGGCCTTTGCGTTTCCGTAAATCGTCCGGTTCTCGTACCGCCTGATGGGCTTCATGTTGCGAATGGCCAGCAGCTGCGCCGTCTCGGCCGCGAGCCCGGCCTCGGTGGACTTTGCGATGCCGAGCCCCAGGCGGCCGTTGCCGTTGCCCGCGATGGCGACAATGGACGTGCTGCGCACCTTGCCCAGACGCGTCTGGTTGGTGACCCAGCGCTGGACGAGCACCTTGCGGTAGATGGACTGGATGTCCCGCAGCGACATGCCCGTCAGCCGCTTAATCTCCTGGTAGCGGCCGTCGTCGTCCTGGCCCTCGTCCTCGGGGTCGGCGGCCGACTTGTACAGGCCCTCGACGCCGGGCACCTTGCCCAGCTCGACGGCCTCGGCGGTGTGCAGCCGGATGGTGCCCGCGGGGCCGTCCTCGATCAGCTCCAGGTTGGAAGGCTCGCCCTCGCCCGAGTCGGGGCCCTCGCTGATCTTGCTCAGCTCCTTTTTCCACTCCTCGTCGATGGCCTTGTCGAGCTTCATGACCTGCTCCTTGGTTAAGACGGCAGAGTCGTCATCCGACTTTGCCTCGACGTCCTCCTCGACCAGATACTTCTTCAGCAGCTCGGGGTCCCTCTCCAGATCCGCCAGCTCCTCCTCCGTAAGGTCGATCAGCTCCGCGCCGTTGCTCTCCTTGACTCTCCGCAGGGCGCGGACCATGGATCTCGTGAGCTGCTCGCTCGTCTTCTTGTCCGTCAGGTCCGTCAGCTTGGAGCCGTACTTGTCCGCCCAGTCGCTGGGGTTGAGCCACTGCGGCTCAAAGGGCGTGCCGTCCAGCTCGGGCTTGACGTCGTACCGCGGGTCCAGCACGGTGTAGTCCTCGACGTACTGCGGTCTATAGGGGTCGTCTCGTAGCCGGCCCTGGAAGATGAGGTCGTCCGGGTCAATGGCCTCCTCGCCCGCCTTGATGGCCTCGATCTGCTCGGGCGTGTACTTGCTCTTGAGGGCCTCGAGCTCCTCCTTGGTGTAGTCGGCGAACTTGTCCTGGCGGTACTTGGCGAGCTTCTCGGGGCTACTCAGCAGGCCCAGGTCCTCGGCCTTGACATTGCGGAAGCGTGATCGCCGCTTCGAGGGGCGGGGCGCCGAAGTGTGGAATTGATGCTGGTGCTGCTGATGCTGCTGATGCTGGCAACCGACGACGGCTTGCGCGGTGCGGGCAGAGGCGACGCACGTGCGCAGAAGGCTGCGCGCCGGGCGGGCGACGCTCATGGCCAGACGAGGCTCCGAGTGGCAAGGCTGGGCAGGGTCAATTCGCCTCGTGAGGTGGTTGGCGATGGCGGGCCTGCAGCTTCGAATCGATCGCTCTCACAACGACCCTCGAGATTTTTCTTTGCGATTTGCCCAATTGAGGAACCGCACCATGAAAAGTGGCTGATGGGTGACTCAGCAGCTAGCGGGGTGGCTGGTGCCGGACTCTCCAGCCACATCACGAGACGACACACGTGCAAAGCAGTTTCCATCTTCAAAGACCTTTGAACGGCTAGCGCCTCTCTGCATCTTCAACAGGCATGGACCCTGATAGCCCCCCCAAAGTCCCCTAAAAAACGTTCGTGCAAGTCCTCAAGTCACAGACAAAACCCACAGATACAATGTCACACTTCAAACCCATTTATCAATCCATCCATTCATACTACATCTCGATACATAACTCTGTAGCATTCAAAAAAAAAAAAAAAAAAAAAAAAAAAAACAGTTCAATTCCCAATAGAACCACAAGTACCCTCCCCATCTCGCCTCCGTCCGCCTCGCCTGACGCCCCCCCAAAACATGGATCAAACGCCTCCGCGCGCCATCGTGAAACGTCTCAGGATCCCCGTCTCAGTTTCGACTCTTGTCCTCCCATTTGGACTCAACTTCCTCTTCTTTTCCTCCTCCTTCTTCTTTCCTTCTTCTTCCAGTGTATACTCCAAATTTCCATCGCATTCACTCATTCCATTTCGTTTCTTGTACTTTAATTCTTCAAATAATACCATACAGGCGCTCAGAGTGACTGGCTCACCTCTTCCGCCTCAATATTCACACTCGTCATAACCGCCGTCATCCTCTCACACTCGCCACAACTCACATCACCAACTTGATCAAAAATGGGCCAATTCGACTGGTTCAAGAAAATCGGCGCCACAGACGAAGCCGTCGCCGTCCTCAACGACCAGCCCTACCTCTTCACCACCCTCGTCGTCGTCATCGTCGTCCTCCTCGCCCAGTCCGGCCTGCTCTGGTTCATCCACTGGGCCACCTTCAAGCCCTCCCAGAAAAAGGCCCCCAAGAAGGGCGCAGCCGCCGCTGCCAAGCCCGGCGGCGGCGGCCTGCTCGGCAAAATCACCGGAGGGAGAGGCTCTGACAATTCTCGCCGCGCGGCCGGTGGCAGCTAAAGTGTTCTGTGTTACCGAATATCGCGGGCCTGCTTCATTTTAAATGTTTTCAAGGCAGACGTCTGCTTCAAAAGATACCACACATGTACACTGGGACGGATGCCTACAATTCGGATCAATGTTGCAACCTTCAGTGTCTAATCGAAAGAGGATGGGGGAGGGCCCTTTACCATTCCATATTATATACCTCGGGGCGTTTACAGCACAGCACTAGTTGATTCTCACTCATGACTTGGAAAAATTGACATTTACATTTCCACACGCTTGACATTAGCATTAAATCCCCCAACATTCTGCTGTAGATTCGCTCGGGCATAGCCATTCATCAAATGATAAAGATCCTACATCCATCGGCCATAGATCATGATTCCACACAACAGCGTCTACTGTAAAGGGATGTTCATATATTCCTTCGCCCATGAGTGCCTTGCTATCCATTCCAGATGAGTTGGATATATAACTCGGCTCCGCTTGGGTGTAGCAAATAGGAGATCCTGGTGAAAGCGAGGCACTGCTTGCTTGTACCTCCGGTAGACCGACTTGCCGACATTCGAGGAATATGGGGTTGTGTGGCGGTAGAAGTGATTGCTTTATCTCATGGTTCTCAGTCTGGCCGTGCGTACTCGACCATGTCGTAATCACTCCGATGTCCTCTTTCTCTTCCTTCTCCACGGCTTGTAATGGAGTGCTGTGCTCACAGAATCCACTTCCTGACCCGGGCTCCGTATTTGACGTCAATCTCTGAACACCATGGCTTCCTTTTCTTGACAAGGTTGGTATCTTGACTGTCGATAACAAGACATCCCACGTGCTTTTCTCGATTCCTCGTATCACACGGTCGTTGTAGTCGCATCCCACGTCAGTAACCCGGGCTGCGAATGAAGCAGCTTTTTGCCGAAGACTTGGAGATTCGGCATTCTTCATTCGAGCAAGCGAGGTGGCTATAATCGGAAGTAGAGAGACTCTATCCGATATAGTCTAACAAAGTTATTAGCGCAAATGCTCTTTTTCGAACTGCTGCAAGATCTTACCTTGAGGTATGGCCTGTTGAATACTGCGGGTGCCAACCGTATCAGACACTCCGCGTGAGTACGATGAACGGTAGCAATTCCTCTATACTGCTTGCGTGATCCGAGAACAATCATCTCCAAAGCAACCTCGAATAACTGCCCAAGGCTCTCTGAGAATTCAAATATCTCACTGGTCATCTGTCTCTGTCGAACAGGCATCATGTTCAGGCTTTGTATAAAAGCATCAATTGCCCTCTGGTCATCCGGCGTCAAATCTGCAAGATGCTCATCATCTGCAAATACATCATCTGGCTGTTGAATTTCGATACATTCGCTGGCTTGTTTTGCACGTTTTCTTTTTAACGGGCGTTTCTTCAAGGATACCCCATCCTTGTTTGGAGAAAGATCGATATGGCAACTCACAGACTCAAACTCTGCCGTGAATGCCTCTCTCTGAGTAATCAGTGTAGATGACAAGTCCGGATGCTGTATGGAGAATGACATCATCCCTGGAGATTCGATCGCATCTCTTTCTTGTACATGCAGGCAAATGCCCGCCCGGCTCCAAACCTACTCTTCCAAGTCAGTCACTCAAGCTCAGGGAGTCGTAAAACAAGCCAATTGATATACTTGACAATCCCTCACCCATTTCACGAGCTTTGCGACATGATTCCTCTCCGACACAGGTTCGCCTTGAATTGAGACATCAAGTCGCAGATAGCAAGATCCGGTTCGCGCAATCCACAAGTGCTTCTCCGTGACCAGCTTTAACAAGTCACTACTCGTAGTTGGGACGTCCACGCCGTCTGGAAACCGCAGCTGCAGCGTGCCCCGGAGCGACAAGTTCATCTGCTGCTCGTCGCCGACAAGATGGAGATCTGGCAGACTCACGTTGACGAGCTGCATGGCGTCCCTTGCCGCGGCGATGCAAAGATGTACTGAGCGCGTACTCGTACTCGTGAGTTGTGTTTCCGGAGACAAGATCAGCTCGCCTCGTATGATGGCGATGCACATTTACATTGTAGAATTAATGTATTGATAGCTGAAAGGTGTAATAATTTGGATGAGCTTGATCTAGGTACTAAGGTAGATACAACATATTTCACCACCAGTCACCGACAAAGGAAGCTGCTACTACTCTCAAGATCTGGAAGGAACACTCATCCACCGCCTTCCTTTGCATTACCAAGGTAGGCCTTGTATCTAGGTACCAGAAACGACCGCAGTGATGCCATCTGATAATTGTCTTTGGAAAGGAAAGCAGAAGAAAAGACGAAGAAAAGAAAAGAAAAGAAAAAGAAAAAGATCCAAACGGGGAGATACAAGGATAAACAGAAAAAATCTCGAGTCTAATGCTTTGCTGAAATCCATCCTTCGCCCAGCCTGCAGGAATATTGTCGCTACCCAAAAAGAAGAAGAAGAAAAATCGTTTCAAAACATGAATAACCCAGTCTTTTTATTCGCCCCATATGGTGACCTGAAAACTCCTCGCCTCAACGTTTACTTAAGCCATGGAAAGATTTTCTTGGTTGGCTCCAAGGCTCCACCACCTGACGAGGAACCCTCGACTTCAATACTTCGCTGGTAAATCTCCTGTGTCTCTTATTAGCAACAGCCATCAGATACAAGGGGAAGATGCTGTATCGTACCTCTTCGTCTGTCGTCATATGACAGCCCAGGATTAGTTCTCGAACATTATCGTTCTTGGAAAGGTTTGGATATGGCGATCCCTGGCTCTTCATGAGGGGCAAAAGAACCTCGCCGAGCACCTCAAACTTTTTCCAGTTGATGCGGTCGCCATTGGGCCCAACAAAGGTTTTGCTGCCTTCCTCGGCAGACACCAGGTCACGACGGTGCAGGGGCATAAAGGGAATGCGCGGCAAGGGCGAGTTTTCCCAGGCCAGTCGGTAGGCAAAGTGACTCTTCTGCGTGCCCATCAAGATCACCAATCTCGCAAACTTCTTGTGAGTCTCTGGCGAAACTAGAGCTTTTGTTTGGGCGAGGCGGTGGATGGCGGTTCCGTTGATTCCCGCCAGGACGGCCGCTAAGCCGTTGTAGTTGTTAAGCTGGCGAAGTTTGAGAGCAATGTTCATAAACTTTTCCAGAACGAGAGCTCGATGCTTCGCCTTATCCCGGAGGAGGATCATGTTTGCTACCCACTTGGCGACGTGGTTGAAGTGGTTGATCATGCGGTTTACATTGTTCAGGCTCTTGCAGCTCTCTTTTTGGCTGGCCGGTAGACTGACGTGACGGACAAAGTCGCGGATGCGGATCGAAGAAAACATGATCCAGTCGATGCGGGTCAGCTCATCAGCAATGTCGTCGTCCTTGATTTCGATAAAGATGCGGTAGCGAAACTTGTTCATTGGCAAGTGATCTGTGGGGTCCAAGGTAGCAGCCTCTCTGTCGTAGTCGTCGTATGAGTAGAGCTGTATCAGGCCGCCGCTGCCGACCGCCCTGCTGAGGTTCTCCGAGCTCACAGACGGCCTCTCAAAGTTGTCTTCTTCAAACTGCAGGGCGGTCAATCCAGCCGGAAGCTCGCTCAGCTCTTTGGAGAGGATATCGCTGGCCAGTTGGTCGTCGGCATCGTCGGCGTTGGCCCAGCCAGTGTCGTCATCCTCGATGACGTGGAGAGTGAGGTTTCGGTGCATCTGCCTCGCGGCGATGCAGAAAATCGGCTCCGTGGAAAGATATCTGATGAACTCGTCCAAGTTTCGTCGCGTGGTCAGACGAGCAAAGTCGCCGGGATACAGCGACGCCCACTTGGCTACCGTCTCGATGATTCTGAGCTGAGTGGCCGTCTTGGTCAGATGGTGAACTGTCTTGTCGTCCCTCACGCGATCCAGCCGCATCAAGATGGCAGAGAAGAGCTCTCCGGGCGCAGCAAACTTGCGATAGAGGCAAAGAAAGACATCGAAGAAGTTGAGATCTGCCCTGGAAAGGGGCAACGCCAGCAGGCGATCCACGAGATCGTCAAAAGGCACGCCCGCCATCTTTTGCTGCTTCTCTACAACAACGTCATCGTTTCGCTGCAAGATGGGGATGTCGTCGGAATATCGACGCGACTCAGTGTCGGACTCGTCGACGTCGAGGAAGGAGTCGTTTGCGCGGCCGCCTAAGGGGGGCAATGTCAGCGTCGGACCCACAACAGCTGCCATCGAATGCTCAAGGGTGGTGGATGTTGCGGTAAGCTTCCCCGAGCTCCGTACTCCCGTATTTATAAGTCTTCCGTAGTAGGTAATCTTAGTACTAACCTCGGTGTGGACTCCTGGACGCCTGCTTCTGAGCATGGCCGTCTGCGACAGGAGTGCCGGTTGGCGGAGCCGCAAAGCCGCGGAGCAAGGAAAAGTCGGAGCTGGAACGATTATGCCTTCCCTCGCTGATGGGTCTGCCGGCGCCGGGATCGGGGAGGTCGAGATTCGCGGCGGATTGCGCTCTCTTACGAGCAGCACCCATCTCGCCCATATCATCTAGCGAAACAAACATGTCAGCACAGGCGCATATCCTTGGTAAAACACCAATAGGGGTATTATCGCATTTCATACGTGGCAACATACCCCTTCTATGAGCCACGGCGGCCCTAAGAATGGCATGCAGACAGGTGCGATCTATTTCTGGGCTGGTCGAGGATATCTTAAAGTGGGCCAGGCACGATCTGAAGAGCGTGTGGTTGGCCAGCTCGTCGGGATTGACCTGTCGTTCTTCCTCGGGTGCCTCGCATTTGGTCGCGACCAGCATGGCGGGCATGTTGGAGTTTGTCAAAGCAGCTACAGCAGTACACATGTTAGCTCCAGTTGAACACGGGTACCACTGGCACCCTGTGATTGCGTCTCTCTCGGGTTTCTCATCGACGCCAGCACGTTGGATGGGCGCGGTCGGTGACGGGACCGCTCATTAAACATACCCAAGGTCTGAGGAAGCTCGCGGATGGTGTCCTTGTTTGTGACATCGTAAAGCACCAAGGCAGCGTCGACACGGGGTACGATGTGGCCGTTGATCTGCTTCGGCCACTGGATAGGATGCGGTGTATTCAGCTCGAAGGAATCCAGGTCCAGCTCGAGGAGTGTAATCATGTAAGCGGCGGAATCGACGACGATGCGAACGCTAGACGCGGTAGATATGGGTGGGCGCGACAGGCCGAGGATTCGCTGAACAAACGTCGACTTGCCCACGCCTATGGCGCCAATGATGGCAATGTTGAAGCTCTCCATGGCGGAGGATTGCTGTGACTGGGAAATGCGACAACTGTCAGCATGGGAGCGGTCTCACAAGGAAAAAATTAAGAATGTCTCATCAATGTAGGAGTAGCCAAGGTGAACTGGAGTGAACCCCTGGTTGGCTGCCCCGCGACACACTCCAAGCAGGGGTAGATGATTGAATAAAACTAATTGGGTGGAGACGGGGCAGTTGCGGTAAGATGATGAAGCGTGACGGAGGATTGGACTGCCTGTCTGCAAAGTTGCATCAAACTCATGCACGCCATGACGCTCCAATTGCGTTGAAGCAGGAGCTTGGTTTGTCCCGTAATTGGGTCAGACAAGGGCAATCGATAGCTTGGCTTTTTTTTCCCTCTTCCTTGCTCGTTCTTTTTTTTTTTGTTTTTTTTTTTAATTTCTCTGCAGTTTCTTCTTCATTCTCCTCTCATGACCTACCCAAAGTTGTGATGATCCAATTGTCAAAGATTCTCGACGAGGAGGCGGCCAGTGTTGTTTCTGTTGCCCCTCGTGATCATATCTACTCGTATTACTGCGAGGGGTCTCGGGCGAGAAGAAGGGGATCTCGGCCAATGTCTCTGACTCGAACTCGATTGGCTTGTACGAATCGGGGACGACAGAGGTAGGGGTGTCGAGGCTGTCTAAGTGTTGGAAGAAGGGGTCGTCGACAATCGAGATGAAGGAATCGCGGTTTGGACTCGACGGACGGGGGACAAAGGCGGCGTTTGAGCCGGTGCGTGAAGGAAAGCTTTGATCAGTAGATGCTGCCGAGGCTCTGGACCAAGAGCCGGCACTGCTCGAGGTGCTGCTGAGGGTTGAAAAGGCCGAAGGGCGTCGAGCTGTGGCCGCAGCAGTCGGGGTCTCGGAGCCGGAGCGCAAACGTTGGGACCCGGAGGAGCTGCTGTCTGTGGCCATGTAAGTAAAGTGCTGTTGTTGGGATGCACTCGGCTGGACCATTGTCGCAGTCTATCGACGCGACCACGGCGCGGAAACGGACATGGGTTACAAAAAGCAACGAGGATGACGACGGCGACGATGACGATGACGATGACGATGACGATGACGATGATAACGGATGGAGATGAGAGAGCGTTGTATGTGTTTGTGTTTGTGTGTGGGTAGAGAGAGATTGGTGTGTCAAGAGTTGACTAGAGACAAGACTGTGTGAAGGAGGACAAGGGCAGGGCGAGATGGAGCAGACACAAACGAGGGAGCAGCACGGAGGGATAAGGATAAGAGGAGGTGGAAAGTGGAAAAGAGGGAGCTGGCGAGGCAAGGAATGGTCTGCAGATATGGAAATGGCCCGATGGTTGGAGGTGAGGAGGGCGGATAAGGGATTATTGGAGGCGGATAGATGCGAATCCATCCCATTGGGGCCACTAGCGAGTCGAGAGAGCTAAAGCAAAGGGCACCACTTACCAAGCCCACACCGGGTAACCCGCGAGGATCGAGGTGGAAGCGAAATGGAGAGACGGCCGGGGAATTCAAGGTTCAAGGTTTGGGGGGAGGGAGAAAAACGTGGCCGAGGGGGAGAGGCGAGCGGATGGGAATCTGGGAGCGGTACTGTAGGTACCTGGATTGGATGGGATTGGATTGGATTGGGATTGTGCGGCGCAAGTATGTACTTGTACTTGGGCCGGTACGCGCAGTGAATCGATGCGAGGACTAACCGTGGTGGAGCAGGATCAGGGCAGCTGGTAGTCTGAAAGTATTCGGGCAGGACGGTCCAAGTACAAGTACGAGTGCCGATCAAAGGCTGGATGCGAGCATCGGATCCTCAAGGTGGCCCCCCAATTGCCC